TAGTATATAACTAGATATATATAGTATAACATTAATTATAAGTAGATATACACTAACTTTTTAATTTTTAAGTTATTAATACTATATATATATATATATATATATATATATATATACACACACACATACATACATATACAAGAGGAAAATAGCAGAGTTAGGGTAAAGGTGTCTGGTGGAGATTGAAAATGAGATTGCTGGACTTACGAGGGTGCACAATAATAAAAACAAAGTTGAGACTAAAACAGATTTGGTTAGCATTCAACCTCTGGGTACTAATATGTTATAGATTTGCCTCTTTGACTTCTTTCAATGAGTGTTAAGATGATCAGTGTGTTTATATAGTGGAGAACTCTTCTTATGTATAAAGATAGTTATTTGTAATGAGGAGCACAGAAAGAGTAGCACTAGAATTTGTTTGCCAAGTGTTGAAGCACAGGATGTTAGAGTGCATGTAGAAGTGAATAGTGTTTGGAATTGTAAATCAGAAAACTATGAATAACTCCTTCAGAGGTTTAGGAATAGAAATAGATGTGTGGCCCTTTTGGGAATACTTCCTCGGATTAGACATGTTAAAGATTTAGCAGAATCCAAGGCTTAAACAAAAGGTATGGCTGATTGGACATGGAGGAGAATTTTTCAGGGTGAATTATATCATAGAGCTGGCTCCATTTAAACTGGTTTGTTAGTAGGAAGTTTGGGGAAGCTTTCAATGAATTAATTAAAGATAGTTTAATGTCAACTTGCCTAGTGGTGAGGGAGCTTGGGAAACTGGGAATAAACAAATTTATTAGATAACTAGGGCAGCAAGGAATTTGGAATCAGGAGATTGAGGTCCTAACAAGTTAAAGATAAACATAGAAGATTCAAGAATAAGCTTATTTGGTATTTTTCTAATATTAAGAGTAATAGAAATATAATGGATGAGTTCAGGACCCTAGTTGAAATGGAAGACAATGATATAATGGAAATGACTTAAACTTATTTGGATTTAGAGAACACTTGGTAATAAGAATTATTTTAAAATTTCAGGTTATAAGTTGTTTAATGGTCTTAAGACTTTTTCAAAAAAGGGATGAGATGGCTCGTTATGTAAGGGATGAACTGTATCTTCTTGGAATTATAGACATAAAGAAATTGTAGTCAAGAAGTTGAATCTGTATGGGTTATAATCAGGGGTTTCAAGCTTAGAAAGTTTTTAATTGGCAGCTGTTATAGGACACCTGATCAGACAAGATGGTGTCAATGAGAATTTAAATGTAATAAGAGCAGAGTTGTTACTAATAATATTAATCCAATAATTAAGGAAGACTTTTAATTTTAGGTACATTAATGAGGGGCATGGAGTAAAGTAGTGAGGAGTAGAGATTTCTTAGTGATTAATTATGTTTTTCTATACCATATGGTCAGAGAGCCAACCAGGAATAGGAAGCAATTTTAAATTTATTGTTAACCACTAATGAGGTTATGGTTGTAAAATATGAAGTGCAGGATCATTTTGGGAAAAGTGATCATTGCATAAGGCCAACAAAAAAAAATTTATAGTTCTGATTACATCCATTTCAAAATTAGGGGGGGTTAAGTAGGGACTTTTTTAAGTTTCTAGCCATTTCTGAAACATTTCACTTTATTGAAACGGAACAACAATAATATAAAACAGCACAATTCATCTTTTTTGTTTGTTTGTATTTAAGCACCAAACTATACAATGGGCTATTTGCACTGTGCCCATCATGCTTATTGAGCCCTGATTTTTAGGATATGAGCCCTCAAGCTTACCACTTAGCCTTGGGAGGGGCACAATGTACCTACAAAGAAACCATCTTGACATGTGAGTGATCTACTAGAGAAGTGCTGATACAAAGAAAATATGACATGATATTTAGTTAGAGATATATCATGTTACAACAACTAATGAGAAAAAAAAACCTGTAATATCATATAGTGCCTGGTAACAGCATGAGAGGGGGGGGAAGCTGTGCTATCATTATAATGAAAAAGGTTAAAGTACATGTTGGTACAATAGTTCAAAGTTGTAGACTGGTGTGGTTAAATCATACTCTTAAAACTGAAAAACTTGTTAAGTGAAAGAAACCTAGTTAAAGGTTCCTAAGCAATCAACTGTTAACTTTGTTTGCCTACAGGAAACCAAATCCATTTAAACTGATCACACTGTGAGTAAAGCTTGAATATAACAGTAGCACCCAATTACTAAAGGTTATTCATGTTTGTTGAAGGGGTGGTGGTGCTTACTTGTGTGAAAAAAAAATCCATCCCATATTTTTGATTAATATTCAAGCATAATGTTCTTTAATGAATGTTTAATCATACATAATTTTATAACTTTGCATAAAAATCATAAGTAGGCACACAGTTTTACCACAATGCAAAAATATCTTATCAAAAACAAAGGATAAACCTATAATTTGTGTCACTGTAATATCATCATATCAGGATAATGGTAAATCACTGTGACCTATCACTAAAATTATTTAGGGTTGGTGCCATTTCATTGTGGTTAGTGGGATAATTGCAACCAAAATGATATTTTTCATAACAAAGTAGGTTGGATGTGAATAAAAGTTTCTTAATTTTCAAAAAGTTAATTTTGAGGCAAGATTTATCATCGGTGAATGGACCTTATTTGTGTGTTGTGCGATGTCACGTGACAATAGAAAGTAAGCTGCTTTCTGTGGTTGCTCAATATTGGCAGGAGCTTTGAAATAAAGAAATCATACTTCTAGTGTAATACTTAATTTGCTGATCTGTGCTTAAGATAGTAAATATTTAATGTTCTTTATTTTAATTGTATATTACACTAGCATTCAAACACTTAACTGAAGAAAAAATGCAAGATTATTGCACAGCCCCTAAGTGCAACAACTCTTTGAATAAAGTAAGTATTCTGGAAAGTGTTAATAAGATTGTGTTATTACTTATTTTAACATTTAAGAATGTAAATGTTCATGTGTTAAAGAGAAAACTAAGTTATAATTGACCTTTTGTAAACATTGAGTGTTGCTGTCCTATTTGCAAAATATAAATGAAGCAAAACTTAAAAATTACTGTACATGTATAATTTTGACTGCTAATAAACAGGTGATAACTTTGTCTCAGGTGATAAACTAATAGTATTATAACAGTATGTCCTTTCAGTTTTCCAAAGTTCAGTATGCATGCAACTTACAAAATGCTTTGTTTTGATATCACTGTCCATCCAAGAAAATCTGCAATATATTATGTTTCTGTTAACTATTATATTTGATTGTCTTGTTCTTTGCTCTAAGAAATTGCATTACAACCAGGTTTGCTTGCATTTTTTTTCTCCAATTTATATATATATATATATGTCAGTGACAGGTACAGAAGGAAACAGAAAATAGCACTGGTATTTATATTCCTTTCTTTTTTTCAGAGAGACACTTCAATTTCTTTCCAAAGAATCATCACAGGTTATGCTTGGAACACTTTAAGGAAACAAATTGAATTATCAATTTTGGAAGAAAGACACTCAAGTCAGATGCAACTCCTACTGTCCTAAGTTCAAGTCAAAGACAGTTACTAGTAAGGAATTCTCTTGATGCCAAGAAACAAATACGAAGTATATCCATTGTGCAACACAAAGAGAAGAATTAGTTTTCGGTACAGTTTTCAAAAAAGTAAATGAGCAGGCAGCTACCATTATTTCATTGAAGAAGGAATTATTATTTTTGAAATTTTCTGTTCATTCATTGATAGTGATGTCGAATATTATCGATATTATACAGGATTTCCTTCTTACAGAACATTTCTTGAGTTCATAAACTTGGTGGGTATACCATACAATAAACCTGAATGACTTAAGATGGTCATGGAAGACAAAGTTTTTACTTTGTTTGTGAGGTTATGATTGGTATTGCATGAATATGATCTTTCCAGAAGATTTAATATCAATCAGCCATCCTTATCAAAGATCTTTATAACCTGATCATATATGTACAACTAAAATCAACAAATATGTGGCCAAGTAAAGAAATGGTAGTTAGAAACATGCCAAAAACATTTGTGACTATCTTCTCACAATGCAGAATCACTCTAAACTGTAAAGAACTATCATACCACTGCTCAGCAACAAAAATGGTTAACTTATAAAAATATTAAATACATTGAAAGCCCTAATAAGAATTACTCCAAATAGAGGATACATTTCTGATAAAGCCTTATTTTGAAGGGCCTCACTGCAAATGAAACAAGATGATGGTGATGTAATTCTTGCAAATGGGTATTTTCTATTGTTGATGATGAATTATCCAGAAAAAAATAAAAGTTATTACTCTGCCATTCATACTCAAAACTTCTCAACTACAATCACTTGAAGTCAAGAAACTAGAAAAATATTCTAGAGTCTATTTTGAGCAATTGGAAGAGCAAAAAATTTCCAACCCTTCAATAAAGAACTTATGGTAGTTGGTATAAGATCTGCAAACAAATTATTGTATTCGTTTCATTTCTTTGTAATATGGGACCCCTTTTGGTAATTATTTTTAATTTAGTTTTTGTTTTCTGAATACTACACATTTGTGTTTAACACATGTCCATATTGTTAACAAATTTTAAAATCTATGAAAGGAATTTTAATGGTTGAAAATATATTTGGATTGCTTATTAATGCATAAATAAATATATGCTTATTTAAATCTGCAATAGCAATATTTAATTTCAAATATGAGGAGAACTAATATCAGTAAAACACCAACATAAAAAACAAAACGGTTAATGTAAATGTCATATTTTCATTTAGTTATGCAAAAGTTTTCAGGTATCACCAAAAATCATAATCACTAATCTATGGGAATTTTTTTCTGAACAGATTTCTCAAAAGATTAAGCCAATTCAAAGGAGAAAAAAAAGCTACATTTTTTTCATATAAATGTAAGACCGTCTTACACATTCAGGCAAGAAAAATGTAAAGTAATGATACTCAATCAACTGGGATAAAACAAATTTTAATAAAAACAAAGGTTTTGTATGATCTGCTGAAACTATTAATATTTATGAGTATATAGATTATTACAATTTGGCCCTGAATCTGAAAATAATAAGGGTGTGTGTTTTTTTCAAATGTAATTCATTACGTATTTTCTAAATAGATGCATCTTTTACTGCTTATCATTTTTCTGCAGTAACTTTTAATAACACTTCGCTTTCCACCAAAATACACGTATTATTTATATAATTAGTCCATTAGGTGAAAAATGTACATAGGGGATACTTGGGTTTAAAACGAATCTATAGCTTGAAACCTGTGTTAATTACACCAAGATTGACAAGCTGTTTAGTTTTAATCTTACAAATTTTTCATATTGAATTTCTTGTCTCACTGCAGGTGCATGTATTAGATTTTTAGGATTCTGTGTTGCTTTTGCCAGGTTATGTGGATTTTATAGTTTTATCAGTATCTTGGAATACCCAAATGAAGATGCTGTCAACCTGAATTTGCAGGTAATATATCAGTCATTTTGCAGACACTGCTCTCGTATTCAAATTTTAGTGTTTCCTGCTTCTTGTAATTATGATGATATACTTGTGGTGGAATATTAACAAATCATACTCCAAGTGTTCTAGTTAAATACTATTTCTCAATGCATTCCCTGGAGGAATCTTGTTTGGCAGTTTATCTTTTTGATTATAAAGGAAGTGACTGAAACAACTTTCTTTAGATAAAGACTGCAAGTAGTGTAATAACTCTGATTTGGAGATGGCTACTGGATTATTTTTAGATGCATTCCAAAATTTGTTCTCTTTTTCCAACAATTATTTCTTCAGACATTGCTGGTATTACAGTATGTGCTGATGGCTGGTACCATTTCTGCAATTTTTCTGTTCATTTCAAAATGATCTTCAGTGGGATGATGTAAAACACCAATATACACAGGACATGATCATTCCCCAAAACAAATTTTACTGTTTCAGTTAACAGCAAACATTGCCACTTAAGAAACTCCTTTTTTTACTATTTGTGTTCAGCAATAGCAGGAATAAATATCAAATTAGTTTTTGATGCATGGCAGATATTGCTTATATTCTATTCAAATATAGTTTTTATGACTGTTTCAAAACTACTTTATAATTAGCAAAAATACTAATTAACAGTTTTTTGGGTATGAATTAGAACATTGGCTTTTGTTTATTACACCTAACCTCAAATGGAAACTGCAAGTTTCTTTTTTATTTCTGAACAACGATTTAAGTTTCTATAACACAGACACTGCAAAATACCTAAACTACATTGAAGTGCTTTACTTTATCCTAAGTAATATATAACCTGAATCCATATTAACAGTTAGTTATACATATATCAATAAAGCATATAATGCATTACTGGAATTATACTTTTGACTTAGCTAGAAACTCTGATAAGAAATATTTTTGACTTGTTATGTAAAACCAAATATAAAATTCAAAATTCTGATAATCAATACAAAATGCCTAAGCCAGTGTTCAAGATATATATATATATGCCTTTCTCTTTCCTTTTTTTAAGTGCCAGAAGATGGTATTATAGATATCCACTCAGTCTGTGAGTCATTGGATCAAACCCATCACCAAACATGCTGTGGAAGTGTTATAACATGATGTCAATCTCTCTGTTCATTCATAAAGAGTTGGCAGTGGGTGGTGTTGACTAGCTGCCTTCCCTCTAGTCAATCACTTCAAAATTAGGGATGGCTAGTGCAGATAGCTGTTGAGTAGCTTTGTATGAAATTCAGCAAAGCAAACAATAATATTCACATATCTTATTGCAGCACATAAGGCAGTTGGAGAGTTGTTAATGTTACTCCTTTTTATTTTGAAGGAGAGAGAAGAGTTGCATAGGAAATTATAGGCCAGGTAATCTTATACTTCTTTAGTGGAAATGATTCTAGACAGTGTGCCAACAGAATTTTTGCAAAGTCATTTATTGAAATGTGGTACCATAAAAGAAAGCCAAAGATAGATTTGTTGTAAGGAAATTTTGAATTACTAATATTTTTGAGGATATCACTTGTTGACTGGATGATGGAAAGGGTATGGACATGGTGTACTTCGATTTTCAAAAAGATTTTGATAAAGTACAACACAAAAGATTAACCAATAAAATTTCTTTGGTAGGAGTTGTGGAAAGACTACTTAATTAGTGTATGGTGGTTGTGGGAGAAAGTAAAGGATTGTTGTTAATGGAGTCCAGTTCAGCTGGACCTATTTAACTAATGTAGTGCCTTAAAGACCAGTATTTTGTCCTTATTTTTTCTTATTTACATAATGATAATGAAAGGGCATAATTATTAATTTAGTAAAGTTTACGTATTAAACTGTTAGATATTTCTAGCTGTATTGCATAATGACTGAGTCAGTTGATAAGTTGGACAGATATTTGGCAAAAGACCTTTAATTATAGTAAATTCAAGGTAATGTCTTTAATATTTAATATAGATGGGAACCTGATTCAGTATCTTGACTGAAAAAAAAATTACTTTGTCATAGTCATGGTTAAGTCACTCACTCAAGCCTTCGAATCAGTGTTCTTTTGCAAGTAATAAAGCTGATTAAATTTTAGGGTTTACAGACATATTGATTACAAGTCAAAAGAAATAATTATATCTTTATACAGATCATTAGTAAGGCCTCAGTGGTGTACTGTGTATAGTTTTGGTCTAAGAAAAGATTTAAACTTACTGGAAAGGGTTCAAGAATGATTCCAAAGATGGAAGTACTTTCTTGTAGAGACAGGTTAAGATCTCTGATTTTCTCTTGAGAAAAGAAAGGTTAAGAGGTGATCTTATTGAAGTGTGTCAGTTTATCTGGAAAACTGATAGAACAAAAAGAAAAAAAAGAAAATTCTGAGGATAATAGTATGAGAGGACACAAGTTTATCATTGGGCTGCAGTGAAGTTTTATTTTAATAACGATATGATTGGTTTATGGAATGAGTTGACATTGCCAGTAGTGGAGGCCAGAATTATACTGGAATTGATGATTTCTTAAAAAATAGAATGTTGGTTTTAATTTTTCTTTTCTTTGTGCTAGGGTAGCCTTGAAGGTCTAAGAGTTTCTTTATTATCTTTAGATTATGTTATAGTATAATTCAGACATAATTAAATTGGAAATGGTTTGTACCAGCTTTTTATTTTTTTACTTTTTTATTTTTTCTAAGGATTAAACAGTGTAAAAACTACTATGAAATTCTAGGAGTGTCCAAAGATGCTGATGAATCAGATCTCAAAAAGCAGTACAGAAAACTAGCACTTCAGTTTCATCCTGATAAAAACAAAACACCAGGAGCAGCTGAAGCTTTTAAAGGTAAAAATGGTAACTGTGTAATATACTGACTTAGAGTTAAATATTTTGTTTTTATAATCTCAAACTTACAGCATTTAAGATTCAGCAGTGTTGTTTTCAAAAACAACTGTTCTACAAGCTGAGTTGGGGCTTCAAATCCTACCTGATCTTAATTTTCCTTTTTCTTAAAAATTCCAACTATATAAGATGGTCTGTCATCCATAAAGTTTTATAGCTATGGCACTTGTCTTTGGCTCTACCAACAATTACAATAAATGTATTCTGAGCTTTACAAGCTAGTTGAGAAAGCTCAAGATTTCTGCTGAATTCTGTTTTATTAAAACTTATATCAAGCCATGGGTTTGATTCTCAGCTTAATTCTCACTGTACAGTACTGATATTTCATTACAGTACTGTGTCATCCTGATATTTCTTTAAGTTGATAATTAGAAAGCAAATAACTGATAGTTATAATTCTTCGTGATATAGTTCAGCCTCCTGCTGTTGAATTTGACTGTGCCCTTCCAGTTTTGTAGGGCACTTTTTATTGTTTAAACATAAATAAATAAGCATTGATGCTTTATATTCAATAGTTTATAATATTCAAAATTGCTATCACATGAAAAGCTGTTCTTTTTGTTTTTTACATTACTAATAGCTAATGGTTTTTGTAAAGACTAAAAAAGTATGGGATCTTAAAGGTCTACACATAATGTAAACATCTTATATTTTATTTAAAAAAGAACATCATCATCAAACAAGGATTTGAGGATTGTTTTAAGGATTAAGAAGAATGGAGTTAATACTCAAAAGCTAGATGTATTCTTCATAGCTTTTTTCACTCCTAGTCATTGTAGATGCAATTAAGATTGATAATAATCATTTTTAAGAGTTTCTGTTAAACACAAAGTGATGAATATTATGCAAGTACTCTGAATCTATTTCTTAATACTGTATAATAGAACACTGGATTATCCCAGTCCTGTGGCTTATGATGAAAACATTGTGTATGAGTCAACAAAAAAATTATTTTACATGTTTTCAAAACCTATGTTTCTGAAATTACCAATATTAAGATTGGCATAGCTAGGAACATCATTATGCTCATACCTGTACCTTTGATAGAACTTACATTTAAGAAATTATTGCAGTCTCTATGAAGGTTGTATTTTGACTTTTAGTCTCATGTGGACCACTAGAAATAGTTAGAGTTTAGCAAAATGACACATCACTATAATTTAATTAAGTATCAATACATGAAAGATAAGTGGTACTATGTCTTGACTTCTAGTAAAATAATTTAATCCAATAAAACAAAATCACAAAACCTGGAATTTATATTTTTTCTGCAGTGTATTAAACTTAGCTGTAGATTTTGGAAAAGACTTTTTGAAAAAATGTCTTAGCTCTGTTACACTATGTTTATCAATGATTTCAACTTTAGCAATTGGGAATTCATTTGCTGTGTTAAGTGATCCAGAAAAAAGGAAACAGTATGATCTTTATGGTTCTGAAGAGGTTCAAGCAAGAAGGAGACAAAGTCGATCTTTTCAAGATGGCTATTATGATTACAATCGAGGCTTTGAGGGTGAATATATTTTTAAGTGTATTTTATTGTGCAACATTTTTAAGACATTATTTCCCATATTATATATATATATATATATATATATATATCTAGAATGTGAGGAATGATACTGAGTCCTCCAGGGAAAATAATAATTCTGTATGTGAAACAGACAAAGCAAAATATTGACTTATGTATGTCTATAGAGCAATAAATTAAGATTAAATTGGAAAATGGTCTTTAAATCATTTTACATGAAGAATAATACCAAATAATTACACACATGCATAATTTGTAATTGTCAGGATAAGTGTCACCTGCTTGGGACTCGAATCCTGGCAGTTCATTTGAGCTCCTGCCTCAGAACAACCGTGTTATCCAAGGGTCCCAGGCTTAACCCCTTGTTAGGATAAATTTCTTAAACACCTATTTCGTTCATGTAAAAATATACTGTTAGAAAATTATTCCTTAACCCTGTTTTGACAGTGGATGAACAGGTAATTCCAAATGCATGCTTGTATCTCAACAGTTGTTTACTGAAAACATGTTATGAAATTGATGTTTTATCATTATGTAATGCATGTTTAGTGTATATAGATAAAAATTCTAGCTATCTAAACTCTAAACTTTGCACTTCTAGATTTGATTTTATTTTTTCTTGCTTCTTAGCTTGTATTTGTTCTGTTTGTTCATCTGTAAATTTTTGGTTGAACTCAGAATTATTGTACTACCCATGGAGGTCTTGAGCACTTTGAGTGGTTATTGGCTAAAATAGTTTATTTCAAACTCGTATGTTGGATGTTTCTGTGAAATTTGTAGATAGTTTCAAATATTGGCATTTACAATCGTGGATTATTGTTTTTTATAAACATTTTAGGGAGCATACAAACAGTGAATTTATTGTTAAAAAAATTAATGAAATTGTATACAAATCTAGCTTTGATGAATAATCTCTTTATGCTAACATTGCAAGAGACTGTTGATTTGAGTCCAGATTTGGCTTTTTGATCTTCCAAAATTAATTTCTAAGCTTGTGTTTTCTAAGTTAATCATGTTGGTTAAGTTAATGGAATAATTTATGATAAAGTTCATGGCATTAGTTTGTGATTAAAGTTTGCACTTGCTAAGGTAATTATTTTTGAGTGGTTTCCATTAAAATAGTGATTGAAAGGATTATATTATATTGAACTTAAACCATTTTACTGTGGTAGATATGTAGATAGTGTATTTACCATTTTCATTCATGTTGGTGAATATTTTAAATATCTGAATAATAAGCTTCCAGATATAAAGTTTATGTGTGAATTTCCTGTTTCTAGATAACTTTGTTTTTAATCAACAAAGTAGTTTGATGTACAGTAGGTCTATACCATAAACAAACTTTTTATGACTTTATACAATTTTAGTAGTTTTTTTCTGAAGGTATTTAAAGTGAATTTGGTTGAAGTGCTTATTAATCATTTTTTAAAGGATTGTAAGCTGTTATTCTGTATTGCTTGAAAAAATGATTTTAACAATAAATTTTTTAAATGTTATGAATTTTATAGTGATTTCAATGGTAGTAATACCAGCAAAATGCTAATTGCCCTGACTACACTATAAAGTTTTGAAGTGTGAAATACCAAGAAAAACAATAATAATAGTATTACTATACCTTGCCAGTTGCTTAGTGGAGACTTTATGCCACTAAAATTTTGGGTTTGATCTGTGCAAAAGTTAAAATACAAATAACACATTGTATAGCTTTGTGCTTAATAACAAATAAACAAGTGTTGCCACATTTAGGACAACAGTCACAGTATAAAAGAAAGAACTTATTCAATATTATGCTGAGTTCATCTACAGATAGAAATTCAACTTCCCTGCTAAGTGTAACTGCTCTTCACTTACCTTTTAGGGGTAACTGCTGTCTGGTTTCTTGGGAAGAAGAGAAACATATCAAGATCAATATCTTATTCACCAGTAATTATGACATTTAAAAATAATGTTGCATTTATTTTCACTTCACAAACATTACTTGAACTATGAAAAGCAATGACCAAAAAAACCAGACAGTAAAAAATAGGCTATACGTGTTGTAATCGTTTTTGTTTGTGATGTTGAGTTTATTGTGATAGTGGGATGGAAGTTACTCTACTGATAAGAATACTCTTTCTGATACTTTGTAATAAACAACTTTCATTCATTAAAATATTCTTAAGAAGTAGAGAAACTTCTGGAATATGTAAAGGTTTTGAAGGTTTTAACATATTAGATTATTAAAAGCAAAGAAAACTAATTTGTTTAAGAAATCAATCTTTTGTCACAAAATAAGCTTGTATTTTTTTGTTAGCTGACATGTCTGCTGAAGAGCTCTTTAACATGTTCTTTGGAGGAGGATTTCCTTCAGGTAAAGCAGTTTGTTTCATGTAAAAACATCATCAAAATTGTGATCATTTCATTTTCCTTAGTTTTGAGTTGTTTTACTGCATTTATAATGTTAATTGAATGACTTGAGATAACATATTTATTGTAAAAGTAAATTTTTAGCATATCATGACATTTTTCCAGGAAGGATCCTCAGTCTTGAAAAATACTTACAAATGGGATTAAATGGAAAAAAATACAACAATCAAATCTATACCTTTCAAAACGTGATTTTTTGTTTTTTTGATAGTATAATACAAAAGTGAAAATTAATGTTGCAGATGGATTACTTGTAAACAATGTCTAGAATTATGGAGCTTTGGTAAGTGGATCCTATTCCACTTCCCAATTGTAATCAATAATTGGGTTACTAGATTTATCAATAATCACTTCTTTTGTTGAATAGTTTCAAGTGGTCTGCTCCTGCCTTCTGTCTTTGAATATAATGTTTGGAACTCTGTTTTGAGTTTTTCTTCATGAGCCCTGATGACAAACTCTGCTCAAGGGCTGTTTTTATGTTTGTCTGGGAAGTAAAGCAGATATCTTTCTGTTGGAAGATTTCTGTTTACACATTTCTATTAAATGCCAGTTGAAGCACAAAATGAAAATTCTAGTGACTTTCCCTTTTTTTGTAATTTGACATATGTATGTATGAAGATGTTTTTTCAGTAGTTACTGTGTATAAACATATGTGGAAAAACAACAATGATTAAAAAAAGAGTTATAAGACTCGTATTAGAGAAAATTTAGACATATTTCCTCTGCCTTGCAGCTATTTTTAACCAATTATTTTTGACCATTTTGTATTTCAGATATTACAGTATTGTATATGCATTTGCTATTTTTTTATACATGTTAGACCATTGTTAGGAAATAGTTCGTTTCTGATGGCCTTTCTCTTAAAAAATTAGCATGTTAGATGTAATAGCTATAAATTATGGTTTACCCATGCAGTACCACTGCTAAGTGTGGTAGATACTATACACAGAATATTTAAAAATGATCATATATGAAATATTTATTTACTAATGTTTTTAATAAAAATTTGGAAGAAAAAACAATTCTCTGCCCTACAGGTTACATTCTTGATCATGTGAGCATTGATCTTCATACTAGTATAAACAGTTGTGACCTAGTGTTTTGTCTACTGCCACCAACATGGCACATTCAAGGGCTCTCAAAAATACTTTTGAGTGATAAGAAGTTTGAGTGGTACTCTGGACTGCCATCAGTGTATATAATGACATTTGGTGACACATTATCTTTGCCATGATGCTGATCAATCAGTGCACTAACTACTTCGAAGAGTATTTCTTACTGCAGTAGATGGCTCTGTAGCATCAGTATGAAGAAAATTTTTGATGTTTTCCTGTAAAGACTACCTTCTGCACTCTCTGGTACTGTATTCAGCAAAATAACTGTGTATGTTGGATATATTAGAAAAGTCCTGATCCATGAATGACATTGTTTTAAACCAGAATTACTCTTCTGCACCTCTATAAAGGTGCAGTTGGCTTATGAACAGAAATTTTATATTTATCATCTGTACAGATATGGTCTACATTGTCTCTAAGTAAAAGAGTAAGTTGTTTGGGATATTGAAAAAAGCTTATTGCAAGTTTTATGAAATAACAACCTGAAATACCTGTCAACTGATGGAGAATGTTTAAACTTAATTAAGATAATGTAAGTTTAACAGCAATCATATATTTCAAAGTAATAACTTGAACATGAACTTTATCTCAAAGTTTTAAAATTATAACAAAGCATCTTCATAAACAACATTTTCAGTGAGTTTGCTTTCCATTTACCAACAAATAAAGATTTTGAGGTGATCCCACCCTTGAACACCCTACATCTGACTGACCATGAGAAAAGCATGGTTGTTTGAGAAACAATCCAGCAACTTTCATAGTTTGACCTTGAATCCCTTTAGAATATTCAACATTGTCAAAAGCGTTAACTTTCCAAGATTGTTTGAGGTTGACTCAATAGAATGGGAGTAATTAACCAACAGGCTTTACAAAATGGAAATAGGGTTAAGTTCAATTTTGATCCCCTTAGGACATTCCCCATAGTTCATAGTGTTTGCTTATACATTTTTGGTTGAGATTGGCCCAATAGGTTGGAGGAGTTAGGGTGCAAACAAACAAACATTTCGTCTTTATATATATGTAGATTATAATTTTTAGTTTAAAATAAAATTTTGGTGCTTACTGACTCTCATGACTACTTCTCTGGAATGTAAAAGTACATTTTCACTTTGTTCTGTCCTATCTCTCTACATGAAGTTAGGTGGCCTTTGTTACCACCCAAACACAATATACACAAGAGATAGCCTTGATCTACATAACCAGCTAACCTTAGTTTGTTGAGAAATCTATATATGTTGTGTGGCTTTGCTGGCAGAACATGTGAAATAGCAACTGGGTTATAAACTCTATCAATGTTTCTTCTAAAGTGATCATGAATTGCTTTAAGTACATGCATATGGAATATATACTGCTGGAGTTGTTAACAAATTTCCAATCTCACACACTTGTATTTGTAGTGAGATCATCTGACATATGATATTCAGAAACAGCAATGAACTGGTCTTCTAAATAATCAATGTACTTTATATTTAATTCTACAATTGCCTCTTCAGCAGTGTATATTTAAGCAAAAGAGCTATTATTTGTGTAGAATGTAAATAAAAATGTTAAATATAAATTAACATATAAATTAAATATAAATGTTAAAAATAAAATATTTTCAGGCACTTCAGAGTTTTTTTCATTTGCTATTGGTTTCAAAAGTTCACCTTATTGCACGTTATATTTCCCAGTGCGCAAAGATCACATCTTGTGCCTCTTTCTGATGCTTAAGTGTCACTTGCTGCTTTAATGCAGAGCTACTGTTACCTACAAATGCTACCTAATGGTTGCAATGATAATTTCACTTTTCAACTGTACTTGGTAGTGGACAAAAATATTATCATCAGAAATAATTTATCATCCATACAATATCTTTTTGTATTCTACATATTTGTAGTTTTCACAGTTTGCTCTAAAAACTTTGTTGTCAACTTTTTTCAAGTACAGAGAATAAAAAAACTCTTTGTACATTATTTTGAACTTCTTTAAAATCATTGAATCTTGTTGAAAGAATAGTAAGAGCAATTTTGATGATGTTTTATGTTTTTTGCTACAAAAAGCATCTTTGAACATTTTTTTTTATATATAAAATTGTATGGCTCTATAGAAAAATCTACAAAAAAATTTTTCTCAGTTAATGAATGCATCATTTGAAAAAGACTATTGCTTTTTCTCCTAGGAAATGTTTATGTTCGTAGAGGAAACAGATGGCATAACTATAGACAACAGAATGAAGCTCAGAATGATGTAAGTGGAAAATATGATTATATTGAAATAGTTGTAAAGGTCTGTTTGATAGATTTTCACCAATTATAGAATTAAGAAATTATATGCTTCATAGAATTTTAAATGAAATATAATCCTAATTGAAAATGTTTTAATATCAAGATCCATTACCGTTGCTTTCCATTAAAAGCTAAAGTTAGTTTAAATAACACATGTAAGTGATCTCAGCCCGCTCGTATTATTCAGACAGTTTTTCAGTTACAACTAAAAAAATATGATTCCAGATCAAAAAACGTTGTCATGATGTATGTAGATACAACCTGTTAGTTTTTGTAGATGTTTACACAGTGTTTTGGGTCTTTAGGTTTTGCTGTAATTTGTTTCATGGGCTGTATCTATTGTGAAGTAATTTGAAAAAGGGTACTGTTCAAATTATAATGACTGTAGTGTTGCGTATTTAGTTGTGATACATAATGTATGTTGTAAATTGTTATTAGAATGAACGTTTATAAAAAATAGCTTTACATTTCAGATAGTAGCCTAGCTTTTGTGTCTTCACTGTATCTTGGCTTCATTTGAGCAAGAATTTAAGGAAATACTGCATTTAGATAAAGTTTCACTGATATAAAGCTCAATGTATTGCTTTATCACAAATTTTATATGTCTATCGTCAAGTGGATAAAAGTTGTAAAGGACTACACTTGCATTATTAGACATTTCCGCAACTGTTATTTCAACCATATTTTCATCATCTTATAGCTACAAATAGTATATCATAATTGGTCAGACTGTCACTACTGACAGAGGATGATTAACATACAGGTTCATTTCAAAAACTGTCCAGAGGTTCTAAAATGATGAAAAAACAGGGCAGAATACTAGATTTGGTAAATGTTATATGTTTACTATTTCAAGGTTGTAAATCTCTGTTAGTTTTTTTCACTGCAACAGCAGTAAAAACATCTAGACTCAGCAGTCTTTGTGGTAGAGTTGGTGTGGTAAATGGAAGCATGCTTTTATTTTAGTCTAATATATTTGTTTCAGTAAGTGTGTAACAAACTATTGTTAGCAAGTATCTCTGTTAATAAGACATTACTTAGCTTTGATTTGGAATAATAGAAGGCAAAAAGAAATGTTACATCACTAAATTTTCACACTGTGCAAAGTATATATTTTTTTTTCAACAAGACACCAACTTTCTTTAACCCTTTCACGATGGGCTCGGTATAAAATACACAAGTTCATAAACACAGTTGCACACATTAAGTATTTATACTATAACTTTTAATGCAGTACGTGTATCGTCACAAAATTTGGTAGACTTTTAGTAAACATTATAAATCTTTTGTATACAAAAAAACAGATTTTTTTAATCAAGTATTTTTACTAAAGATTTGTTTATAAATATATTCAATCTGTTTCATTACTAGTCTGACTGCGAGGTGGTTTTCATGTTATGATTAAAAGAACTATTCTTCATCTCAAGCCCCCCATTGGCACAGTGGTATGTCTGTGGATTTACAATGCTAAAATCCGGGTTTTGATACCTGTGGTGGGTAGAGCACAGATAGCCCATTGTGTAGCTTTGTGCTTAATTACAAACAAACAAACGATCTTCATCTCAAAATTCTAAAATATCATTTGTGTAATTTCTACATCCCCTAAATATATTTCAAATGTTTGTTTTCAGTAAAACTTTATATTTTATCTGTTATTTTCTCTACCCTAACTCTATACGGGGTCTGTCAATTTGACCAACTTTGTAACCACCATAAAAAATTAGGAAATATATATAAGTTATGTTTTTTTGTTCCAGAATGACTACAGATTATAACACGAAATCACAAATGTTTATTCTAAATAGCTTAAATCTCATAACGTTATACATTTATATATATATATATATCATTTTCATTATAATAACTTTTTCAGCCGTGCCTGGCAAATATTACGGAAGTTGCTATGACGTGCACTCATGTTACTGTATCCAAGTATATAAAACTGGCCTTTACAAAGTGACCTGTCTTGGCTGTGTTTTAGTGGACTAGTATTTTGTAAAATACAGTCACATTTCAGTTATAATACATTATATATATATGTATATACATTATTACTATTTACAAATAAATTCATAACTATCAGATTTCTTCTCTGTTACTAAGCTGTACTGTAATATTAATATAAATATGAAAATTTAATATTTACAACTGTGGTTTAGTTTATTGTTGGAGATTTGCATCTGATAAACATGTTTTTTCACAGCAAAGTGGCTATAATGCACTCCTCCAGATGATGCCCATTTTGATCCTGGTTTGTCTATCTCTCATGAGCAGCTTCTTTGTTTCAGAACCAGCATTTAGTCTTATTCAAACATCGTAAGTTTCTAAAATTCCCCTTTTTAGAATTGTCTTTTTAAGTTAGTGTTTTTTAAGCATAAATAACTCAGTCAAATAGATGTTCATTGCAGCAGAATTCTGCATAAACCTATGTTGTATTGGAATTAAATCTTGGCAAGTTTTCTGTTCTTATGTTTCGGTTTTGACAAACTATTGCTTGTTGCTGATGTCCAAGTCATGAGAGAAGTTGTGTTGGCTTATAGTTTGTTTCATTTATTGGTAGATATCCTGCATTAAACCAGTAGTAATGAAAATATTTTAGAAAATTCATGTGAAAGTTGATGCATATAAATTGTAAAGTCATTTGTAATGTTTATTTCCACGTGGAAGGAGTTTTAAAATTTTGTGTGAGATAAATATGGGTATTAATCCAACGTTGTTTATCCCAGAAAATATTTCCACGAGCGGAAAACAAATAATATGAAAATACCATATTATGTAAAAGAGAACTTTGCCAGTGATTATCAGGGAAATATAAGAAGAATAGAAGCCCAAGTAGAAGAAGAATATGTAGCAAACCTTCGGACATCCTGTTTCAGGGAGAGAAATTACAGTAAGTGTCATGATGTAGATGTTATGGTATTTGATAAGTTATAACTTTTTGATTATAGCATTATTCTATTATTTGTGCTGTCATACATGCATTTTTTCTGTTTAGCCATTTAAGGTTCATTAGCTTAGAAAGTTACAGCTTTTTTTCAGTATTTTTTCTTCAGATAATAAAGTCTAAGAAAGTTATTATTTATGCTATAAGTAATTTTTTAGAATTAGGAATAAAACCTTTTATAAATATGGAGAAATTAATAAACAATTGTGTAACAGAAATCTAAAACCATTTCAAATTTAATGTCATGTTTATTGTAATTAAAATTAGCAAGCAGCCAAAGGATTTCTTTCTTACACATATGGAGAGAAATAGTGTTTTTAGTATATACTTAGGAAATTCATGGAAGTATTTTTGAATCAGACATTTTCATTTCATTTTCAGAGGAAAGCATGATATGGCGAGCTCGTAATTTCTTTGACCGGGAGCTTGAGGAGAAAGCAAAGAGGCTTGGAACTCCTTCGTGTGATGCTCTCAGTAGCTTGTACCATAGAGACAGCAAAGGATTATAGTGTTCATACTAGGAAGTGTAAATAATATCCTGAAACTCAGGAATTCTAAGAATTTTTGTAGAGTAGTGTTGATAGTGAACAAAAAACTGTTTACTGTGTTGGCTATCTGCACATTATATTCTAAGTCTTCAAACTTATATATATCTTTATTATCTTTTTATTGAACCCATAACAAGAAAGAACCCTATCACGCATCTGGTTGTTTTTTAACTTTACATTGGTTGGATTTCTTCTGTTTTTTACAATAGAAATAGTAATAAATTTTCTAAAGATATGCCTTTATAAATTCATGAAGAAACACTCAAATTTTTTGGAATTACACAAAATGAAACTCAATTTATAGCCTTATAATTTTAGTATTAAAAAATTTGCCTTTGATATTAATGTGACATAAACATAAGGAATGATGAAGGGAACAATGAATTTTTATTTTCTAAAATGATGTGTGAGGAGATATATTGTCCCTTCTAACTGTTTTTATTAATGTTATTTACCACGTTTGGTGTGTTTTGTAGCTGTATAGTATCAAACTCTAAGAAACCTTAGCCTCTATCTTATTCATGATGGCAACCACTTCAGGTTATTTTGCTGATATTAGTAGGTGAACAAAAAATACGGAAATCTTATATGGCACCAGTTTTTTGTAACTGTTCCAAGAGGTAATAAGTTAAAAGGTTAAATTTAACTCATAAGTTCCCTTTTGGCACAATACTTAAATATGATTTTTATGACCATTCATTTTGAGTTTCAGTACATCAATCCCAGCTCAAAATTAAAGGATTCTGGTCTTTAATTACAGAATGGCATATGAATTAGTAAATTTCTGTAGTTCTAATAATGAAACTTAAAAGTTTTTTAACAATCTGTATCAGTACATGGTTTTTACTGATTGCATATACTAATTCTAATTCTCTTGGAGGCAAATCTTTTGGGAAAAAAAGTGCCATTAACCATCTAAATTTGTGGTTAAATTACTATGACTGTCAAGTTTGAGCATGTATGTTGTTCCAAGAGTTTGCTATGATTATATAACAACAAACACACCATTATTCCATTTCTATTAAGTGCAAATTAAATATTTTTAATGAAGTCAGACTATACTTGAAAATATTTTTAAAATGTAATTTTTTTTTTTCTGCCAGATGAGACCAGAAATAGTTTGGATACTAGAATTATGTGCATGCAATTAATGATATCTGGTTGCATTAAATATTTATCTCTTCATAAAGCTTGCATAGGAATACCACTTATTAATATAAAGAAATCAAATTGACTCTACCAAGTTTTTGTTTTTCAATGGTTATATCATTTTTCTTTTATATTAATCATTCTAAGACAATATGAAAGTGAGTAGTTTAAGTTGTGTAAAAATTTCAGCAGAAATCCCCAAGTTTCTGCATAGTACTGAGTTTTTAATATACAAAAAATAGCAGGCTAAACTTAATATATAAAAATCAATACGGTCTAACCTGGCATAATTATGATAAATTGGAAATGCAGTATCCAGTTGCATTTATCATTATTATTATTCGAATAATGGAATGTTTATTTGACCTTTATATTCGAAAAAAAAAAAGAGATTTAATATAATTAACTGTTACATACATCTTCAGTGTTTTCATTTTTACTGTTTTAGTTAAATATTTTGCAATTATCACATGAAGAGAGAATGTCAATAAAATGTACAGTTTACAAATTGAAAAATAAAACCCTTTTTCTTAGGTGAAGTGTACTCTTGTACTTGATTTTATATGTATTTAAAATCAAGGAAAATTTGAAATATCAGTTAAAAAGTACAATAAAATATCATAGAAACTGGTAAAATACATGAAATACGATTAACTAAACCCAAAGGTATTACTTTATTCTGTACAGGTAGCATGACTGCATCTTTTTATACTTGAACAGATACCCAAACTAAAATTATGAAGCATTCGTTATGATTTAAAATAATGCACACTTGCAAAAGCAAATATTTATTAAACAAGACTGTCTTTTTTTTTATTTCAAGAACATTATGAGCAACTAACGGTAAACTTATGTTTTTAGAATAAAGTTCTCCCAGTTGAATTTCTCTCAGAAGAATATATACATCAATGGTTATATGCACAACTTTTTTATATCTGCAAAATATCTTGTGGGTAATGGCTTTGTTCATATGAAAATAAAATTTTAATAGTGATTTTTCAAACTGAGACATGCACACTACTTGATATGATGCAAGATATTATATAACTTATACATGACACTTAAAAGTAAATTTAGTACATCTTAAAGAATGTACTTCAATAGACAGTGTTATTCCAAAAACATCTGACGAATTTTATTAGATAATTGAAAAATGAAGTACAGTTGACTTTTACTACAAAATTTTTACACCAATAACTAATGTAAATTTTCAGGATTATTCACACATTAGTGAAAAAAATATTCACTTGGACAAAGTGGTAATTTTAAAGTATATTGTATGCAGCATGAGACACCATGTTGAAAACCTTGCTTGAGTTGCAATTGCTATAATGGTCATTATCACCAGAGTGTTGATGATTTGTTGTAATGGGCATAGAGAAATGTATTACAATTACTGTTACATATATACAAATGATTGATTTTTAAACTATACATGATTTAACATTTTCCTTATTGGAATTACACATTTTAAGGAAGATGTTTTTAAAGCATTTGAAAACTTTGTATTTTCCTAAGTTATTGGAAATGAAGTTAACCCATTAACTGCGGATGACGGAAATATCCGTCAGTTGCACATATATAACTCTATGCGAATGACGAAAATTACCGTTTTATTGTGATTGATGACAACTCAGTTTTATCTGCAAGTGAGAAAACGGCAACCGAGCTGCTACTGCACCAGTTAATGGGTTAACATTTTTAAGTAGCATTTGCTATATTTAACAAAATCAAATTCATGTACATGGAACACTTAAAATCAGTTAATGGATCTTGAAATGGTCCTGGGAGTCTTATTATTTACAGTTCTAACTTAAAGTGCTGTTTGCATCATACATTTACTGATGAATTTATAAAATCAAAACTTTGCTTGAGATTTATTTATGCTATTCTTTTGTTTTAAAACCTGTAGAAGCAAAAGAAAATTAATTTTTTTTTAGGTTAACAGATTTTTGAAGTAATAAAGAGGGTGAAAAAAAAGTTTTGTTGACTTTACCTTAAGCAATAGGTTCATATTGAGAGAATTACACTAAAGTAAATGTGATTTGTTTTTCATTGTGCATACAAATAGTAGTAAATGTTTTCCTTAATACTGAATTTGTTATTAAAGCAAAACCTACATTTTGCTATTGATTGTCAAAAACCAAACTATTACTATAAATAGTTTGACATTACCAGTTACTGCTCTACTGGTTTTCCCACAATAATAATTAGAGAGAGAATGTTATGTTGCAATGTTATAAATACTTACTTGTTACTTATTATTGTAAAAGTTACATTCACAAGTAGCCCTTTCTGAGAATTCTCATCAAATGATACTTTAATTATCTGATTCACAAGTAACTTCTCTAACATGTATGTAGATGATAAGCTTTTACAATGCAAGTCAACAGACTTAAAAAAATATGCGTTAAGTGTGCTTAAATGCAAACACAAATTTGTCAGTCCAAAAGACTATGTTCCATTTAGATAACTATGACCATGAATACGTCATATGTACAATTTTTTGTGAAATGTAAGGGGTGTGGGAGGTGTGCAAACGCCCCTTCATGCAGGCACCCATGTGTGTGTGTTATATTCACAAATAATCTTTCTGATAAGTTACTGTCAGTGTAATATGTTTTATAATAAAAACAATTGTAGTTATTTCTTAATGTTTGATTCACAAGGAATTATTTGCAAAAAAAAGCACTTCCAAGGTATCTAACTGATGATTCAATATGATGTGATCAATGAAAGTTACTTAGCTTTAAAGTAATTAAATTAAAAAAGAAACACCAAAAATATTCCACGTTTGAAGTCATTATCTTATATTCACTTGTATTGCTATGATTTTGACTAAATAACCTAGTGTTCTTATCTGTAATGTTGCTTTATTCTGGTATATTAGCAAAAACAAAATAAGTTACATAAGCTGATCTATAAAGTTAACCCATATATCCAGTTATTATACATTTTACAAAATATGTTATAAGTTTCAAGACAGAATACATGATATTATATGCAAGGTTATGCCAGTTACATTATAAGATGAAGCAGCTACAAACCGACATATATGAATGTAAAGGCAAAAACAAAATCTAATGCACTAAAACACCAACCATTCTAATAACTTTAAGATCTTAACAAAACTTGTTGACAAAATTTTCATAAAAAGAAATTTAATAATCAATAGACTGACTATGTCCTGTGGTAAATTTAATTTTGACAAAAATAAAGGAAAGAAAGAGATTTAATAACAACTTTATTGAATAATTTTGGTATAAAAATCATACATAAAGTGATCCAGAAAAAATATTTTTCCACACTATTTCAATTGATTGAAAATGCATGTTTTGAATATATATATTATGCTCATTTTTATCAGCCTTTCTATGACCAGTAAAACAGTGATTTACAAATCTTTTTATAGTAAAAGGAAATTTGAGCTATAAAATCAATAATTTTTTCTAATGACAAAAAAATTCTGGTATTTTTATAGTGATTAAAGGAATGAGCAGCACACTTGATCAGTGGTTTCACATCACGGACCAGCAAAATCTTTATAAAATGCTTATGGACTATTAAAAGAATGAAATTTATGTGGCTCACTTATTTCATAATGAATCAACAAGGAAATACTCTACCTATTCCCAATACATGTACACATTATAAATTTCACAAAAACTGAATCTTTCATGAGACAATTTTTTTTTCACTGGATATTTCCACACACTAGCAGTAGGAAACCATTGCACTAAATAACACCATTGGTTTGTCTTGGGAAAATAAGCCATTTAATATATATAATTCATTCATAATTTATTTCATTAATTTTGAAAACACAAGGTTTCTTTCAAGATCACCAATGAAAATTCTTTATCTGTATGATTATAGAACAATATAATTTTCAGCTACATAAATATTTTCTTTAACTAGTATAAACTCTAATTCAATAAATTTGTATTTTATTTCTATGTTTTACCTTAAGGTTTTGTTAGTAAGTGTGATTCAATGTTTACTTTTTATAGAGTTTGCCTCGGTTGAATTAAGATTGAGACAGTGACAAAGGGCCATTACAACTGAGGTATATTAAACATAAACCACCTTTATGCTTTTTTTAACCTTCAGACAGCTGAGATATATGTTCCTTATTGAAGTTTAAGCAGTACATTACTTAGCATCACAAAACTATTATTGGCACAAAATTCTATCAAAAGCTACATACAAAATAAAATAATAATAATATGCACTCAAAACTGTAGCATTGTTAGAACAACAAAAATGTGAAACTTTTGTCTTGTTGAGTAACAAATCATAGACAAAAAATCTGGCACTTTTCATTTGACTTAGAATTTGTCTGAATTTTGTATAAATCAAACAGACATTTAGGTGAAAAAGGAGTAATTCAAAATATAGGTCTAAAAACAGTAACACGGGAAATAACAATAACTATGCATACTAGTATACGTGTAAATGACTGAACAAATATATTGTGAAGTGTTGAAACAAACTGTAAATATATCTGTATTCTCACACTGTTCTACAGTCACAGTTATTTTCCATATCCAGAATAGGTACTAAGTTACTATTCATCACTGGTCTTTCAAATCTGAGCTTTTAAGTATTTTTTTTCCATACTTATTGAAATTGTAATAGTTTTATAACAGCTGCCTCCAAACAGTGAATACATTACAAAACTTAAGTTTGCAATAGCTAAAAAGTTTTACAAAAACATTATGCATTACTTATATTCATTAACACAATAATTTAAATACTCACAAAAACAAGAAAATTTTAAATAGACCTCGAAAATTTTTTTTCTGATGTTAAATGCTATTATTGATTACACAGTTCAATGTTTTATATCAAATTTTGAGGGTTACAAAATTATCTTATCCAACATTAATGTTGACAATTAAAATAGCTGATACAAGTTCATCTAAAGTACTACTTGTCAGGAATATTTTTCGCATCATTCCAACATAGTCACAATCAGAATGAATTTATCTGGGGATCAGACTTGTATCAGAAATAAACTGTAAATAAAGTTCCCTGACCTTCACATCATTCCAACATAATCGGAAAGAGAATGAATTGATCTGATTAAACAACATGCAAGATATCATCTTGTCAGTTAGTTCTGACTTTTAGAAGATACTTTGCACAACTTTTTAATCAGCTAACATATACCAACATACAAACTAACAACAGGTAAAAACAGGATCCTATACCTTGACCAACTGAAAGTTGTAGTCTGAAGTAATGTTGATTGTTATCAACCATATTAAGTACCACCCAATGGAGCTTTATATGGATTTAGGTGTGAAAGATGATTTTATGTAGTTCTTACTTACTTACTTTCATCAAAATACACCTTGCTGAAAGATTAAAAGATACAAACAAACAAATATATTTTGAATTTAACTGAAGATCTGAATAACCTCAACTTCTTTTGAAATGAATGAATATAAAGGTTTGTGTAAATAAACATTTCACCTAGTCATCTATCACATCTTATACAATACAAAGCTCTACTGGATGACAATCTCTAGTGTTAGCTAAGCTGCAGAAAGAGGATAGTGTGCTCAACTGGTCACAGTATGGGTTTTGTTAAATGCCGATGAGATTTTATGCTTACAGATTAAAATTCACCCCATAAAAAGGTGAATAAAACTTTTTTAAGTTTAACTGAAAACCAAACAGCATCAAACTCTCTCTCTCACAATGAAGTATAAAGGTGTGTGTTCATAAATGCTACACCAGCTAATGAATACTAATAAAATCTCGTTTCATAAATTAAACCAAATTCTTATAATTTTAAACTTAATTTATTTAACACTGTAATCTGAATTAAATATAGAAATTAATACCTCTTGAAGTTTGATAAAAGACAGACTTAATCTTTATGATTTTTGTTTGGTTTAAGAATATAAATGTAATATTTCTGATTTCTTTCACTTGTAAATAAAACGTGTGTTTGTGTATATATATTATTTATACATACACACACACACACACACACACACACACAGTAAAAGCTTTATTATTTGGCATCTGCCAGACTTGGGCAGTACTGGATAGATGAAAATTCAGAATTCAACATTTCCATTACAATGTCTTACTGGAAAAATTTGGACACCTTGTTAATGTTCTGAAGTACAATATTTCTATATCATCTATAATAATAACAGTTTTAAAAAGTAGTAAATGTTGCAAAAAACCTTAAACTGTACAATAACATTTATAACTACAGTATTTTAAATAAAGTAAGCAAAACCATAGAAGTGCCACTAAACTACAATGGGCATTTGTATTTGGAGATACTGAAATTTCTGGTCACAAGAGCTTTCCAGACGAGAAAATACCAGATGACAAAGCTTTTACTGTATATATCTTTAGTTATAAGCTACTCTACTGAATAATTTGTAAATATACTGGCCATCAGTCTGTTCTGAATAAGAAAATACAACTATAATATGTTTTTCAGTTATGTTATTCAATATGATGGCAAAATTCAATGTAGGTAATACATTTAATGGTATCTTCATGTTAATGTATCATTTGATGCTAGTGTGTAAGTTTTAAAATAAAAGCAGATTAATAATTACTCTAAGATAAATTGAATTATAATGATTAAACAACAAGTAATCAACTTTCTAAATTTCAGTTATTGCTTTTGTATATGATACACTGATATAAAACACTGATCTAAGAAAACAAGACAAAGAAAAATGACTAATTCTTAGAAAACAAAGGCAGCTTTTCCACACTTCATGTGCAGAATATTCATGATTTATACCCTAAATCCATGATCCTATTTTTTCTTAATCTGTGAAATGCAATCCACATTTTCTTCTAAATTCTTGCCCTCTCTCATGAATCCATTTGTTTGATACTGCAAAAAGAAGACCAGAGAAAAGTAGGTTATAAAAAATACCTTTTAAAATAAAATCATAGATGACATTATACAAAAGTATGTACAAATAAGGATGACAGCATATTGTGATTAAGTAGCATTGAGTTCAAATATTTGAATTATTTTCTTCAGAAAACAAAAAGCATAAAACAATAGTATCCCAAGTTTTGTTCTGTTACCAGCTGTAAATTAGTGATACTTTAACATATATTATCTTAATGAAGTTTGTTTTGTTTTTATCAATACTTTACCCCATTTAGATCCAGCTAAGACAGGACAGGCTGCATGTCTTGTTAGCATGTCTCCTTCACCACTCTTGAACAGGTTGTACCAAAAGGCTGCCGAGCCCTACAACCAAAACAAACCAACAATGCACAAAATCTTTACTTAACCAAGCATGAAAGGAAATCTACTACAGATGGATAAGTATAAACATTTATCAATACAAAGAATATTCAGAAGTAATACTGCATCAGTCATAATAATGAAAATGATCAAATTGTGTATCAAAACTAACCTTCTTAGGCCATACTGCTACACTGATATGAGGAAAAACTGTAGCACCTCCTTCAACATCACTCATCTAATGAAGAGTTGAAAAATAAAATCAAGAGATGTCAAAAATGTCTTCATAAAACTAACAGATATAACATGTTGTTGTTTTTATATGGGAACAAACTAATAATCTTATAACTTGCTGTCATATAAGCTAAAGGAAAGCAAAACACTGAAAGTCTGTGAATTGCATTACCCAATGTTACACATATTAAATCTTTAATTCAAAATAATTATTTTTTACATTAAAACCAATAATGAATTTTGACACCTGCTTGAGTTTTAGCTAGCTTAATACTGTTAATACATTTGAAACATTTTTTCAGGAATGACAGTTGTTCCAGATAAGTTGGACTATTAATTATTATGAAGTTAATCAGGTGTTAATGTAATAAGTATACATGGATATAAGTATACTACTTTTAATAAACATTTTATATTAGTTAAATCATGTGCTTAATACACTGGCTTGTTACTAGTTGATCTATCCCAAGTTTAATAGATTAGGTCACATTTATGTTACGTACCAGTCTGGTTATACAGGTGAAATGCAATTGCCATTTTACACATGCTCAATCAGAAGAATTAGATGACAAGGTCAATGCTAATCTTTATGCCATGCAGGAGAAAAGTTAAATCAAATAAACAAAAAAATGTTAATCAAGTTAGACATGAACATGAGCCAAGTTAGTCCATTGTATTATAGAACTTACAAGCCAGGCTGGAATAAATTAAGCATATCAGATGTGGGACGTGTTAGGTTACAAAAATTATATCTTCATACAATCTTTAAGAGAATGATTAGCATTTTTAGAATAAAAAATGGTCAAGCCTAGCAAAGACAGAAATGCTGACAATTTGTAATGTGGAAGCTATGTAACAATATCTTACAAAGTAAAAACTGTGCCACATAATGGTCTGTATAATATTAGCATGAGAGTACAGAAAGATTCTATTATACTTGAAAAACACAAAAGGAGAGCTCCACAAAAACTTCATCATAATTCAGTGAATAGGTTTAACACATTAGCTGCCATGTGCCTTACTGGTGGGTCACAACCAGCTTTTAGCTATGGACTGCGGACACACTGGTGAGTCACATATTACAAGTAGCTTCAATAAGCTAATTAAACACAGTATAGTTACCTATAGAAATATTAGTCACCTGGGTTAAGTTAAAAAAAGAAAAGTGTGGTTGGCACTAGGGTAGTAATTATTAATACTACTGGTGTCAGTGAACGTGTTAAACCATTTTCACATGTTTTTTTGGAGACAAGTTCTTATGGGAACAGACTTATGTACAAACTTTTATAATAGTGAATCAGCCTAAAAGTTACACTTAACTTAAGTCAGCCTTATAATAGTTAATCATTTTGTAAGATCAACCACCCAGGTTAAGTAGGATTCAGGACAGAGCAAGGTACAATGCTACAGTGTTTACTTAAAAATATTAATGAAGACAAACTATTCAAAATAAAAAGAGTAAACAGATCAACTATAATTAAAGTTTGCAGTAATATATTTAGCACTCTGTGACTGAGATTGTGACTAGTCTTTTCCTGTCTCACACCCAACACACATTATACGAAACAGGGTTGTTTTAATGCAAATTTTAACTAGTTAAATAATTAAGTTTTATTGACCTAAACAACCCCTTCCCACAATATTTTCTACTTTTGCAGTGATAAACCTAAAATATACATCAAATAACTCCTCACCACAAGAAATGTAGGTCTAAGTACCAAGGTCCTATTTTGATCTCAATTTGTTCTCAAGTTTTAATTGTTTTTTCAAAATCCTAATTTGTTACCATTATAATGAAAATAGTTGACCTTGACCTTTGCACTATGTTCACCAAACATTAATAAAGTTGTCCTCGAAGGACACTCAACCTGTACCAAATAATAATAATTCAAGAACTTTATGTTATGTTGTTGACCTTCGGTGTGACCTTGAACTTTGACTTACACTCAATACTGGTACCAAACTTAATCAAAATTGGATGAAAACTTTGAAAAATATTGTACATACACATACACAGGATTAAAAACAACAACCTCACCCCTTTATAGGGAGGTAATATTTCACACTATTTACTACCCTGATACAGGGTGGTAAAATGTGTTATGTATTCCCTTAGTTAATATGTGTTTTAAAGTTTCTGTAATTTCTTAAAGTCCCTCAAGCAAACACATATTTTTTTCCTGATTCTAGCTCCGCTTCTTAGTTCACCAGTTGGCAATTAACTGCATTTTCTTACAGGAAAGATAGCTTTTGATGTCCCAAAATAAAAGGCTATCTATTCTATTGGTGGGCTTGGTAATGATCAGGGTTTAAAGGTCACAAGGTTGAGGAGTGATGTGCACAACTTGGCTTTGTTTGTTATCGTGTTTTCTGTTAAAAGCCATGTTCCTTGTTCAGCACATTTTTATTTCATCAAACTTTTAACAGACTTAAGAGATTTTTGTTACAACTGAGAATCTTCTTTATTCAAATGATTTTGTTAAGATTTTGATGAGCTTTTGTTTAACTTTTAGCAACTTTTTCCTTTTCATTTTGTAACTTAGTATTGTATGTCACCTTACAGAAAGGGGTAGGGGCATACACTGGACTGGTGAGAGAGTTCACAAAGGTTTCACTTCTTTTCTCTCTCTTGCTAAACTAGTACACTCACAACAGACTCACTTGCCATGGTTTTCTTTTAGTGTCTGATGATAGTAACTATTGTTTGTATATTCATAAAGACTATTGTGCACCTTCCATGTTGCTTCTTTCTTCCTGATGTACTCAGTCATAGTTTGTAGATATAATCAGATACACAATCCAAAACTAGGTGCCCTTCAAACGTTAGAAGGCCCTGACTACTCTCTGGGAAATCCATGTGCTGGGGAATACCACACAAGATTAATGAACAGGTCACAGAAGGAAAACTGCCATCCCTAAATTCTCTTAAGCAGTCTGAATGGCAGTGCTGTTTGTTTATGCTTATATATTTAATGTTGATAATAAATTTATAACTTATTACCTTGTTAATTTGTAAAAATCATTTTTTAGTGTGGCTAACTTTTCACATTACAAATGATATATAGTGTTCACAATGATCTATGTAGTAACTCTATTGTATATGCTTATGTATTTAATGTTTACTTGAACTTCTCCACCACATAGATTTTGACCCCCACTGAAATTAAATTGTGAAGAGTCATAAAGAGGTATCCAAAAATGGGTAGGTCAAGGTTTTTTTTTTTTGAGGCTCTCAGGATTAGCTGCATTGATTTACATGAAAACTGGCATGGACATAAATATTATATTTAAATTTTCTAAATAGTTATACTGTACTAGTGGCCCCTAACTTTATCATGGCTAGTTAGCACCTTTCAGGTATTGAGTGCATACCTGCATGTCAAATTTCAAATTTAAGTGAAAATATGATATCAAAAATTTTAAAACTGTCATTCTGTAACATTTAGTTAGTGTAATTCGCAAAGAAAAATTAAAAAATGTTCTAACTTACATATCTGTGCTGCTCCAAGTAGTCTCGCCTGTAAACAATGTACTTATCAATTTCACAGAATTTTTCAACCCATCCCAAAGTATAGGTATATATTTGCATAGAAAGTATCATCCCTTGAAAATATAACCATCCAAGCCTCCTTTCTCACATCTCTTTCCTGGGAGATGTTAGTGGTTTTTATTAGTAAAGCTCTTTACTGCAATCATTTTATGATGTTACAGCATGTTGTCTGAACAATTACTAATGCAGCTCAGCTTTGAAAATAGCTATAGCCAATGAACAGATAATGGTGAAATTGAAAACAACAGCTTAGTTCAGAGTGACACTTGTAAAGAACATCTCAGAGGACTAATATAAAAAAGGCATTCAAGTAGAAAGGAAGTCATTTTGAAAGACAAGCTTTCCATCATCAGGCCCATTACACCTTTGTTTGTTTATCATGACTAAGCTGTTTAAGTTATCAATAAATATGAATGCTTTCAAAAACAATGTCCTTTTTACCTGAGATACTTTTGTAGATTAGACCTCCAAGATTTTATCTAAAGTGTCATTTTAAATTAGACAGATCCTGCCCATCTTTGTTTGTTTGTCATGAAAACTCTGCCTAAATCAAATAGAAAATAATTGCTACAGCCCATGTTTAAATATAATTGGATAGAGCATGTTATAAACTATTCATGTCAATGTTACATAAACAAAGTAGTCTGAGTATTATAGCTTATTGAGATAATGACTAGCCACAGCTCATGTAGAGGTGTACAAAGGAATCTAATGAGAAGTTAAAACTTAAGTTTCTTTAAATATTCCTCTTGTTTCTGAAAATTATGTTGTTAGATTATATCTGCTTGAAATCTACAGAATTTTTTTTCTGAGATAAGACATCAGGTAAGCTTAGTTAGGTCTTGCAAGTATGAAAGACGATGGCAAAATGTTCCAATAACTCAAATTAATTTATTGATTATAATTGTTAAGTTTGTTTTCAAACAATGCACACAAATAAAATAACTTATTATTTAATGAAAAGAAGCAATATTAAATAGATATAAGCTGGTCAATAACTCAGCAAAATGTTAGCAAAAATCATAATATTTAGCCTCACAAAGATAATAGAGAAGCAACTTTGAAAGATGATGTCCTTCGTCATAAGTAAACCTTTGTCAGTTTTTACTGCATTTTTCATAATTTATAGCCAAAGTGGTGGTTACTCCAATTGGCATATATCAAAAGTAATATGTACATGAATCTTAATCAAGTTCAAACAGACTAGATATACATAAGATTTTATGACAAAATAAAGTATAAAACATTCTTTCAAACCATATCTAATAACAAAATTTTAGAAATCTTAAAACCTATAAAAATGACAAATGCATGAAATACAATTATACTGATTTTCTTTTGGCCAAAACTACATTTAGTAAGTTAAATTTCATGCAATTCGATTAAGTATTTCCACTGAGAAGGAAAAAAAAATCAGGGTATATCAATGACAAATCTCTGAAAGGGTTTTTCTCGAAGCTTTCAGGATTAGAGGAATTGATTTACTTAAAAACTGACAGGAACATATAAACTGTCACTCAATAAAAGTTGTACAAAACTTTTTAAATTTGAAACTAAGTAGCCAAAAGTGGAAAGATCTATTGTTAGAAAGGACAAACTACAAGTTATTAAATGTGATGATGACATAAGTGTATTGCCAGTAAGTAATACAACTTTTAGAGCATTTTACTTATTTTTTGTGGCTTAACTGTTTCCAGCCCAGTATATTGTGGTTTTTACAACAAAGTCAAAAAACAATTAATTCTGTAACATCCTGTCTGACCTCCACACTCTAATTACCTACAAAAAAGAAGTATGCCTAAAATATTCAGATTTAGAATTTTGATATAGTTTATGAATATTTGCGTTAGTTATTGTAATAAAAAAAAATTCCAACTGCTAGCCCTAATTCTACCTCCCCAGCTGTAATTTTTAATTGAGGAGCAGATATATTTAATCTACCAACACGAACAAACATAATTTGGCAACATGCAACACATAGTTGCAACTTTGAATTTTTTGTGTACATATCTGTTGCATATTTCTAGTTCAGATAATTTGATAATTTTTTTTATCTTAGTGGCATAAAAAACTAAAGTTAAACTAACTGCACATTTTTATAACTTCCAAACTTCTAAGGCTAATAAACCACAAATATAGCTTCCTTTTATAGACTGTAAATTATATTAAATGAGGAACAGTTCATCATCCTTTGCCAGAGTTTTGTTCTTTCTTATGCTACATAACAGCAATTAATTATTTCTAATGGTTATTCTGTTTATTTTGTTGAAGTGATTACTATGGCAGTTGCTTCATAAAATTCCCACTGATAATTCAAAACTATGTATTTTTTACACTGGACTTTGCCCAAAAGCTTAGAAAGTAGTGATGGTTCCTTTTTGAAAAGCTTTTCATAATTTCTGAAAGAAGTATGTACAATATAGTTGGATAAATATTATCTATTTTTATAAGTTGAATGATATACAAGATATTTTATAGCAAAATGTTCTTCCCCAAAGAGGGCTAAAGTATGACACAATCAGACCTGTAATTATATTATTGCTGATAAGCATGTGTGAAACCTAGCTTTCAGGTCAACAGTCATAGTTGTAATGGCAATGGTATAATATGTAGTAATGTCATATAGAAATACATTTAATCAAAATCTGTAAGCTTATAAAAAATCTAATTTAGGTTCAAAGATGTTTAATGATTATCATGCTTTATGTTTGAAATGTCTAAGTTTCAGTTAGGTTGTAATTTTTTTTTTTTTTTCAAAATTGAGGTGTTCTGAACACCGGATGATGGAAATGGTTTTTAGATGTTTTGAAAACCTCAATGAAGAATTCACTGAACAAATAGTTATTAAAAGGTAATATTTGAAGTTGTTGTTGTAACATAAAAAAAAATCTGTACTTTAAACCTTTAAATTTTTCTTCATGAAAAGTGCCAAATTAGATTGACAGTAGTTTATCAGCCTAACAACAACAAAACTTCAACATACAAGATAATGAGAAATAAAATAATAAAAATGTTTTTATACATTATTTACAAGCCTTTTTAGTCCCTATTTGTTAACCTTATACTGTTAATTCTTCACATAACTAATCACTCGGATCTTTAAGAAAATAAATAATTAAAATAAAACAAACTTACATAATTCAACCAAGTAGCAATTCTGTTACCAGTTCCCAAACTTTGAAAGGCATTGGTTTCTTCTCGCTATAACATAACAAGTGATAATAACAGTTCATGTTTAACTACAATAATTTAGTTTAAACATTTGCTTTGAAAATATCAAAACCCTTCTGAAAGCATTAAAATAACAAATCAATTACACTGGCTTTACAACTAACTGACTTTAATAAATTTCTAGTTTGTTTGAGCCTTATGCTCTAAAATTGGTGTAATTTAAATAATCAAAATTATTTTTATAACCTAACCTTTGTTTATAAGTAAACATCTTTATAAATAACTGTATGCTATTCACAAAACTTTGTGATTTTGTAGAAATTTCAATGGTAGAAAGTACTTGAAATACTGACTTAAACCTATATTTTTTCTTTGTATCTCATATTTAATTTTTTTTTTTTATCTGGTATAAACCATCTTATAGAATAAAAGCTAATAGATTAGGCCTCATAATGCTAAATATAAGACTAGCTTAAATAATTTTTAAGCTGTATTTTGGTTACAAACTAAATCTTAAACATATATCCTTTCACTTACTCTGGAAAAGTCAAAGTGAGGTTCATAATGTCCACCAATGCCATAATTCACGACTTGTAACTCCTCAGCTGTTGACATTGTTAATCCAGTGAGGTCCTCGATCCTTTGGCTAATCTTTGCTACTATTTCATGCTCCTGATTGGACAGCCAAGCACTATTGGAAAATTAACATTTTTCAAAAAAAACTCGGGAATATGCTATTTTTCTGAATATTTTAAAACCAGTTAGTTAATTATCTATGCCAAAAATACAATCCCTGCATTAGGAACAATTATGGAGAATGTACTTTTTAACCGATAATCTAACATGCAACTAAGAAATAAAAATTATTCATCTTAGCAACATAATTTTTATTATCTGAGCCCAAATAAATTTTTTAACCCCATATACAAATTTAATATTTCTAATACATTTATTGAATTTACTAACTTCCCTCATTAAATTCTAAATACATATTAAAAGAACTGATATATACTGCAAATATCTAAATTTAATTAGAGGCTTTTTTTAATACATGTCCTCAACTGATGATGACAGAAGATACAACTGTAAAAATTTCATTTGGAAGTGGCAACAACATGGCGGTAAATAGATGTTCTATAAAACTCTTTATGGTTACAAGTGTACCGCTTAACAGCATACTATACACTATGTGGTACAAGGTAAATAAAAAATTGGGAATTTAAAAACCTGCAAATAGGGATCATTATCATTACCCCTTAAAGTTAGCTTTCTTATATATACTGGTATTCCTTTAAAAAGCTTAATTACAGGGTAAAACAGAAATTACCAGCCAATAATAATAGGTGAACATTACATGACTATAACATGTACATACTCAATGCTATGTACACTATACAATCATCACCTTTATGGAGCTAACTCATACATCATGAACCTCAATAGTGGTTCATAATGATATGAGCAAAAAAAAAGCCAGTAAAACAAAATAAAAAATAAATTGGGAATTTAAAAGCCTGCAAATAGAGAGCATAAAAAAAGTAAGGAAACAAGGATGGAGATACTGTAGATATTATTTACTTAAACTACAAATCCCTATTTTGGCGCTATGCTGTAGTATTAAATTTGGTGGAGTCAAAATAGACTTTTTAATACCCTTATGACCATCGCTGTACTTTATTTAATATTCTACAAAAGTTTTGGGTGCAATATATAAAGACGTTTTTGCTGTAGGCTGGCAAAAGAAATAATAATAATGATAATTGAACAATTGAGCAGTTTTTGGCATATTTTTTAGATTCATTCTAAGTATCTGACAGTCTATTTTCTCTGAATTTTTTAAACGTGTATTGCAAAGAAGATTTTGAGTGTTGTTTTGGGAAGGAGTTTGCTTTGTAAGGTGGTTTTTGCCATGTACTCTATTAGTGTGTTTTGTCAAACCTGATCGATCCCTTTTATGAACCACTATCGTAGTTCACAATATTAGTTTTTATTGCACTATAATTAACTTCTGGAATAAAAAAATGTACTGAAATTATGAAAGTTATTTACATTTGTTTCATGTGAAGAGGAGTATATATACAATAAACACCTTAAAACTTGGTACTTATGTTTCAAAGTGTTTATATGTTGAACTTTACAGTGACACTCCTTATTAAAGATATCATTTAATACAAATTTAAAATTATTATGTATACTTAGAGGGAATTATATGCAATGTAAATAAAGATGTATGTGTATTTATTTTTTTACTACTGGATGTATATGTTAACACAATATAAATGTTTTATTATACTCTTATTTTTAAAATTATTATCATACATGAATAGGTGCATTTATCAATACGATAACACTAAGGTGCTGTAGAAGTTCATCAGGAAAAACAACAATGTGATGGTAAACTGATTTTATATAAAACTCTTAAATGTACCAACATAAATGTTTTAAAAGCATTTTGTGTAAAAACACACTTTACAGCTATGCCATGTAGTGGTTTTTATTTCATTATAATTGTAAATTTAGTAATAAATTGTAATTGTAACTTAGATGTAAAAATAGTCAATGATTATACTACTTCATGTTTGAAATGCCTTTGATGTAAATACACACTTGTCCTAATATATCACATTCTTCTGTAATACTATATTAATACATTTCAGTTGAAAAATAAATGTGTTGCACAAACCTTTATCATTACATCATTTGAAATAAAAGTTTTACGCATAACAAAAAACGGTTCATACAAAATATACTTGCTTTAAGAATAAATATGAAAAATGTTCAGTACAAAAAATAGCCATTATTCAATAGTACTTTTCAAATTAGAGAAAGCTATCTATCAGCATTACAGAATTTTGAATTGTTTTTTAATTACTCTAAACCATAGTGAAAATTACGTTTCCATTATTTTATTTTTTTCACAATTTTAAATCTTCATAAAATTCTTTACAACTCTCAAAGATATGTCATGAAAAAAAAAGAATTGTTATTCATACTACCATTTTGACTAACAGTAGACAAGGGAAAATTGTTTAAAATGTACCAAGTTAACTCATGGAATAACAAGTTGTATTCAAATTATGAAAGCCACATGTTTTTTGTACTTGAAGAAGAGTATATATAATATACACTTTAACAGTAGTTATGCTTGAAAGCATTTATATGTTGAACTTTACACCAATGCTCCTTCTTAAATGCAAGTTTAAAATCTTCATTATTATTCATACTTAGAATGTATTATATACTATTCAAGTAAAATGTATGAGAACATCTTGGGAGAACAGCATGCTGGTAACTTTATGCTATGTTTACATAAAGTTCCCTATTGTGATAATTCACTTTGGTGCTATTCTAAGTGACAGTAAAACAATAAACCTAAAAGACCAGATTTGAACTGTATTAGCTTTGGCTATAAGAATAAAGTATGCAATTGCCTGTAACAATATGCAGACAGTCTAGAAAGAAAAACAGCAATATAGATTAGTTTTTTATTTTTCTGCAGTGGTTACAAGGTCTGCCAAATGGACAGAGTCTGTATACAGTGTTAGGGTAGAGATATAAAACTTAACTGATAAAATTTTTAATATTCATTTAGAAGGTTTTAGAGACTATGCAAATAAAATTTGAAAACTGTTAAACAAATAAAAGTATTTTTAATTTTAACACAAAATTCACCTTGCACTCAGACTAGTCAGACGCTGACCTCACAAATTTACAGACAAATCTTTAGTAAATACAATTAAAAAATCTGATTTTTCTGTGTACAAAAGACCTGTAATGTTTATTAAAAACTTGCTAAATTTTGTGAAGATACACTTACTACGTTAAAAATTATATAATATGTATAGATTCATGGTTACATGGAGGTTAAAAGGTCAGTGAAAATGACTGATCCCATACATGGAAAGTTAAGGTTAGGATTTGAAGCAGTTAATTAAAAATTAAGATCACAAGATGGGGCTAGTGCATCAATTTGAATTTCCTTTATAGCTTGCAGTGAAAGGATTAGAATACTACTATTGGCTGTCAAGCAGCAAAAATGAGCATGGCTTAGTGACCAGGTCAAGATGTCCAATTAAGATTTAAGCAGGTAATGAAATTATTAGTTTTCTACCAATTAGAGAATGTATATTTAGCTTAGTAACTACACCTACAACCAAGGAAAGACAAAGGCTGTAATGCTTCTTCAAAACAATAGTACTCAATATTATCCAATCAGTATGGTATTTTATTTATTAGTAGCTTCATTACTATTGATTTAGTTACAGTAGTCTTACAGAAAGTTATTTGCTGATGATATATGTTCAAATAAAGTGTCAATAATGGCAGAATGTTTCACTTCTTATATATCGAACATTTTAGAATCATTCCTGCCTTCAAGAATTTTCATAACTTGACCCTTAAATTCATTTCTGTGTATGTAAAAAGTAAACTATATTTTACTTGCACAAGTAGATTCTCGAGATTAAGAATCAACCATATATGTAAATACGTAAATGTTTAAATGTAGCTCAGTATTGTTACGTAAAACTGAAATTTCTAGAATGCCTCAACATGGCTATAAATATAACCAATGCGATGCACCAAAGAGAGTATCTATTATTAGTTCGTTATAATCAGTGTGCTATAAAACTTCAGAAGCTATAACTGTGATTGTTATAATGCTTACTAATCAGAAAACTTCAGATATTTAACCAGGAACCTTTACAATGTTCAAACATTACAAATTATTTAACTTTAGTGGATTCTCATTGGACATTAGTATTTTTATGAAAACATTTCCTAACGTCACGGGTGGAAAAATCGGCGTGTGATCAGTGAAGGACAAAGCTAGCTAGCTTACCATTAAGTGAATTATAGTCATGTCAACTCGCTCATCGTGAACCCTCGATAAGATATCAAAGAAGTTCCAGACTAAATGGAAAATTTTACATTGTTTGTAAGTTTGTGAAACTTTTGTTTATAAATCATTGCTTGTAATAATTATTTGTAATAATTGTTATTGTAAATTGTACTGTTGTGTGTATATTACAACGTATTTGTGTTAAAAAAGAAAACTGTGTATCAATCTTGTTGGCAAATGTCATATACTGACTATATATCGACATATATTCAAATACTAAATCCAAAGTACAGTTTAACTACTAAATTTCAATTTATCAGTTTACTTAATTTCAGGCCATTTGAAATTCTAATATGTAACAAAGAACCAGTATTGAAGAGAGACTGATTGTGATCTGAGAGCATATACTCCACAGAACGAACCCTCCCATCAATATCAGCACCACCCAAAAGTGGATTGTGTCCATTAATGTCTCCCAAGATGAAAAAGGGAGATGGCAACTGTTCTATGAGAGCATCAAGGTCTGATTGATTGTAAGTTTCTCCGGTAGACAGGTAAAGAGAACAAACAATGATGGTACAGCCCAAGGAGATACGGACAGCTACAGCTGTATTGAGCAGCACAGACAATGTGGCTATGTGCTGGTCAACCAGCAGTACCACACCTCAATGAACTCACTCATCACTCATTCCAGTAGAAAGAAAACTGCCAAAAGGTGACAGTATCAAGTAAGTCTCTGGATTGCTTCCTGTAAGGAGAGACACATGGGATGATAGGAATCGATCAAGGCCTTAATGGCATCCAAATTAGAATGGAAACCTTGATAGTTCCACTGAATCAAAGTGGCCATTTGTATTTAGGTGGAGGAGAACTGGGCAGAAAAACCCTTCTGTCTGTGACCATGATGCTTTGCTTTAGTAGAAAGAGGTCTTTCGACTTCCTGGGAACCTGCCCAAGGTCAATTGGGCAGGTCTCTGTCAGAGGATGGAGACTCCAAAGACTGAGGACGAGACTGAATAATGGTTCTGCATCTTGGGGCCAAATGAGATGGACTGGATTAGTCACTAGAAGTGATGGTGGGGTCAGAGACAGGAGTAGACATAGACTTGTCAACTCGTGCAACCATGGTGTGAGAAAGACTATGATGGAGGCATAGAAAGATCTGTCTGCACTCCCACTGTAGCAGTGGAATGAAGAGAAGCAAAATAAGTCTGAGGTTGAATAGGGGACAACAACTTCTAAACCTCAGGGTAAGAAATGTTTACGGTATGTAAACATTGAACCTCTTTCTCCTTCACCTACTTAGGGCAAAATCGAAAGTAAGAGGGGGTGGGAACCACCAAAATTGACAGAGTGAGGGTCCAGTTGATACTCATGGGCACCATGGTCTTTGTCACCACGATGATCACATGTCAAAAAACCACAACAAGATGCCTTTGAATGTCCAAATCACTGACAGTTCAGATAACCTGCCTTGACAGTGGCAGGTTGTAGTGGTAATGTAAATGTCAACACAGGAACATTGGTAGGCAGGATAATTTCTTTTTTTATGAGTGTACATGCATCACACAGCAGAAACTCCTTGGCTGGAGAAACCAGCAATGATCTCAGACTTGGGAATGTTTCATAAATCTCTCTCAACAATCACTCCTCAGGAGGAATTCAAAGTAGCAAGGGAAGTAACCTCAATAGGTATATCCCCAATGGCCTTCGAATTCAGGAAGAGTTCAGTGTGTTTTAGTGTAGATGTTTCCACCAAGATGTCCCCAGAATGCAGCTTTTTAAGCAACTTTGGAGAGCCAGGAAGCTCCTCTAATCCCTTCCGAACAAAAAAGAGAGACACTTGTCCTAATGTTTGTCAGAGGTAGAATGTAAGATTAGAAAACGAGGTACAGGAACAGATTGAGGTGTCAACTGCTGTTCATAGTCCTCCAAACGTGGTCACTTTCCTATTAATGAGTTTTTTTTTTTTTTTTTTTTTTTTTTTTTATTTCATCATCGGTCACTGGGTGCAGAATCCATACAAAAGAGAGAAACTTCATTGCCCACTGACCCCACCCACCATGGAGTCCTACAAGGAGACACACTACAATGCTAAAGTAGAGCTCTCTAGAGGTGCCAGGGTTTTGTGGGCACTATACCAAAACACCAGTATTAGGCACAATGTCCACAACACCTGTTGAGAACATTCAACACTGGTACTTAATTGACCCTAATGCAACAGGACCAACCGAATGACCCTGGGGGGTCTACCCCAAGGCCACCCATCTACAGGAATACAAGACCAAAGTGGTGTGTAAAAGCATCACCAATATAAACCGACCCACAAATGACACCCCTCAATCACCAGGGTCCTCTCCTCCCTTTGACGGGATGCCATGCAGGGCAAACACGTGGGTGGACGTTTGGATCCCAGAGGAGGTAACTGAAGATACAGAACCTTCCATGGGAGGTCTCCTCACCACGTACAGGAATCTACCTGCAGGGGTCATTTCCCGAATGTATAGAAGGGAGGTAAAATTATACACAAAACAAATATAGTTTTTAAGTTAAGTTACTGTATTGCTGAAAATGCTGTTTGTGTCATATTTAGTGTAAAATTATTATTACTTATTGTAAAACCTTACTTTCAAATATAAGTTTGTGAATTCTTTATTTTGATGTATGTAGAAATATTAATACAGAAAAGTGAATATATGGAAAGCTATGTAACTGTTTTGTTTTCACTCACTGGTTATCCCAAGAAAAATGAATTAATTAACCAATAGGTAAGCCAATCTGGTAAATAAACAAAATTATTAAGAATAACAATTTTGTTTTATTTATTCACTTGTGTTTATTTCTTTCCTTTGCTATTGTTCAAAAACTGTGTATGTTACTGAATCTATACTTGTGGATATCAAAATTTGGACATATCTGATTGATAACAGTGGAATGGAATAACACAACAGTACTGAACTCACCTCTTGAGTTATACACAAATAAAATGCAGCATTTGTTATAGTTGATTAGTAAATCATAAGTGGGTGATTATATATTGGGTAAAGTATTATATTTATATTTCTGATCATCAATAAGTGATTAGGTATTGGAAAAAGTATTATATTTCTATTCTGATTTTTGGAAATGAGTAAAATAATAAGGTTTCTTCAAATTCATTATTTAGATACAGTGTATAAAAATTCCAAAATTATAAATGTGGGTATAAATACATTTACAACAAGAACTGTTTCTTGTGATTTAATTTTGACAAGATTTTTCTCAACTATTTGCTTCAGTTGACTATTCTGAATACAAAAGACAGGAAAAGGGTCTTCAAATATTGAGAGAGAAATGTGATTTACTAAAGGAGTGGTAATGCAGGAAAAAGATGAAACAATGGCAGCATATGTTAAATTTTATTAGTGCCTCGTGGCTATTCCATACAGTTCTGGTCCAAGGATAAGTTAAAACATGAAGTGTTCACGTAGTTCCACTTATCAGTGTATGATATATACATATATACATATATACACATATACATATATACATATATATACATATACATATATACATATATATATATATATATCGACAGTCATTCTTTCAAACAATAAAACATATGAACTATTACCAAAAATACCAGTTTTCACTAAAAGAAATGAAATCCCATTACTCACATTCACACCAAGTAGGCTGTGTACAGCTATATCACTTTGTTTCTAGTATAAAACCAAAGAATAACTTGTTGTCGTGGAATTATTCATCTACTAAACAGAAGTAAATTGGTGAAAATATATCAAATAATACATCTGTCCTGTTCTTTATTGTGATTTATCAATGCTATCATAAGCAGCTTGTATTAGATACTATACTATTAATTTTACCTTTATACTGTGTGTAAATTATCATATAATAATATATACACTCAACCTGTGCTGTAATTTACTTAATTTTGTGATAACTAATTCATAGATTGCTATGTCCTATTATGAGTATTTGACCTCTGACTGAAAACAATATATTTTGGAAATTATTTTCATGCATAGCATAATGAATACTTTGCAGGTTTATGACACATAGCTGTACATTTTGGTCTACTATCATTGCTGCTATTTTTTTTTCGATTTCTGCAGTATATGAATGCTTTAGAATATTTTAGTCAGCTTGATGACATGCTACTGGTCAGATTTGTTGCCTAAAATGACGAGATGCTAATAATTGTATCTAGTTCTATCTCTAGCCTGAAGACAGATGTACTAGTTTACACTTTACCTCACAATGTTTTTTTGCTACTTTCTGGGAAAAGTAACAACTATTTTCCCATATAACAACTTTTCTGATGAACAATCTTTTTGTTTCAATTTTCTTTTTTTATTTAGTGACACATTTAAATTTGATTGTGTTCATGTGAACTTATTAATGACCATTCAATAAATGATTTAAATATCAAATTTATGCAAGTTTTATTTTAGTAATTTTTACTGTATTTAGATATACAATTATTTTTATCAATTCTATAAAAAAATCAACTCCAGTAGAAAAAGTTCTACAATTATTTCCTTAAAGAAAAAAGAAATGCCAATAGGTTTAACCATTTTAGAGAAAAATGTGAAACAAGATTTGAATTTTGACTTTAAAAAACAAATTATATTATTGTACAATAGATTTTTTTAGGTAAGGTACCTGTTAAAACGTAATATAGATTCTCAGTTATACAGTAATCACGTTTACTTATCGAATAATCATCATATCAATAAGTTATGTAAAACTAAAGTTCTGCATTTTAACTATGGTAAGCCAGATCTTAACCTTAAGATTAGTAATTCATGCTTATGTTCAACATGATCAATCCCTTCTAATGATGACACTTATAATTGCTTTACTAACCTTTTAAGCTTCCTTGTCATTATGTGTTACATTTAATATAATATCCACAAAAAGACATTATCAGCAGCTGCTCTGATCAGCATCCATATCCCCCAGTGCAAAATCTTTGGGCCACATCTACAACTAATAAAATGAATGCAGCCATTGTGTTTCACATACAAAGTTGGTTTGATGTGTCCATGACTGGGACAATGCATTTTACAAGTACTGTAAAACCAGCCACAAGATGTCACATGACATTATGTGTGGAGATATCTCCAGCTCAGTCACAAAGAGCGTGTGCAGGCATACTATAATTAATTTTACATACATATTTTGTTCTAAAGATGGTCAGGTTAATACACTGAATGTTTTACCTTTTACAAATCCGGTAATTTGCCATTTCCAACTCTCCAGACTTGTAGTTTTGAACAGTTGCTCTTTTCAACTATTAGGAAAAAAAAAAGAAACAATTAATTCACTGTTTGAAGCTTTCATATTTCTATTTTAATAGTTTTTGATATAAGTTTGATAAGAAAGCAAAATTACTAAATATTAGAGTATACTACACAAACATGTTCATTGTGAAACATCTACCCGTTCATCACTGTCAACCCTTAGATGAAAACTCATTTCTATCTAAACAAAATAAACATGCCATAAAAACATTGTTACTTTTATAAACTAATTACTTTTTACCAGAGGCGAAGATTGTGATAAGCCACAGTGTTAAATTATAGAAACAAATATATAACACTGAGTATTTAAAAGAACTTTTTTGATCTGTTTTACACTGTGCTCATTTTGTAATTAAAAGTTTGAAAGGGAAATAATTGTTACTATAATGAAACTTAAAAGTTCCTCATTTTGAAAATTAACTAAACTACAATGATAGCTTTTTTAAAAGTAGATATTTAGAAGAAACAAAGTACTGAAAACAAAGAATATCCTTAGAATTACAGAAACAATAGTAAATTATACTAGTTCTAAACATTTTTTAATTTTCAAACCAAATACAATGGTCAATCATTTTAAAGATAATTTTAATTATAGTGTTTCTTACCAAAGGAGTTGCAAGGGTTTTAACAACTTCTATTTCTTTATCAGATAAAATATTGTGATACATAACAATACGTGGTCTTAAAAATGCTTCTTCTTCTTTCACAGGCTGCAGCAAGTAGTAGGGATGATTGTTTGTATAGTAATGGCACTTCAGTTTCCCTTCTTCAATCTTATTCTAGTAGGTGAACGAATGACAACAAATGTTATAAATAATAACAATGAATGAATTAATGAATAAAATTGTGTTAAAATATATTAACTGATAAATAATGTGATCTTGCAAGAGGTCACAAAGTTCCATTTTCACATCAATGTTATCATACTACTTAGGATCAAAATATGAAGCCAATAATTATGACCAGCAATATCAAGTATATCCTGGATCACTTAGTAAAACTAAGTATGCTATTATGTAAGAAAATAACTGATGAATAGAGTCAATACACTAACAAGCTGAAAATAATATTAAGCCATAAATATCATTAACAGCGAGTGTATCCAAATGATGATTCATTCTAAGTTAATCATTACAGGATTATATATCATATCAGCCTTTTGGTGACTGTTGAAGTAGAAACTTTATCAAGTTTATGTAGTATTGCAACAGTGGTGGCCATTCCTTTCTTTGCATTCCTCCATATAGAGTGCTAATGCACTCTCTGAGATATACAAGACATCTATCTGTGCTCTGTCCAACTCAGGTAATTTAACTATGGATCTTAGCTGTGTAAATATACAAATGTACTGTTGATCACTGGGGGACACAGTTCCTACCCACTCATGGAATAGGTTACTATTCTAAGGGAGGCTACTATGTATTATATTGTTTGTTTATTTAACAGCTCAATTAAGGATGCATGCATTTTCTAATTTACTATTAAGTAATTACAATGATATGATACAAAAATAGCTGAAGGGTGATCAACCATTCTGATCTCACCATTAATTTTTCTCCTCTGCACAGCATTTCATATTTTTCTCTCTCAGGAATATCATACACTGATCGTTTGAATTCCATGTAAGTTTCTTCAACCGGTACATCTCCATCATCTCCTTTCTTCTTCTTCTCTGATCTCTGAAGTGAATTCTCAAAAAAAATTTTGTTACCACCTGCTCTTGGATGATCAGGAACTGAAATATAAATTAAAAGTTGTTTTCTTCCTTTCCCTCTATAAATGATTTGTAGAATTAGCTCAAGAATAACAACTTCTGTATTTTTGGTGCTAAAAAACCACATTAAAGAACAATTTGCAAATTATAATTCAATTTTACAACATTAGTTTTCTTGTATCTGTTGTAATAATGAAAATTCTTTTTTCTTAAAAAAATGAATAAGGGAACATACTTTTTCACTTTTAAAATTTGAAAATAAAGACCAAAATTAGACTTCAAACAAATTTTTAGTATGAAAATATAGATCAAAATACTAACCAATGTTTTAGCCCTCTAAAGAAAGTATTTTCTAAGTCAATGTCTGACACATTTTAAAAAACTTGTCCTTCAGGAGTGGCAGATGCCATTTTAATCTTGCCAATTTTGTAATTTGTATCTAATTTGTTATATAATACTGTCAAAATAATTTAGAAGTTGAGAAAACAGTAGTTCTAATAGTGTCTGAAAGACTTGTTTCATATATGTGACAAAAACAAATATTAAATTGCTATGACACATTTAATCTAAACTAAGATTTCAATTACTGAATAATTCAGAACCAAGAGCACTTGCTAAAATTACAGTGAATTACAATTCTGCTAAAACACAATGCATTATAATCATCTTTATTTTTCAAGGTCAAGAGGACATTCTTTAAATGAGTTAGACAACCCACTTTAGTTGCTGAAATTTTTTCCATTGGAGCTATGTTTCAGCTATTTTACTGCATCCATTATCAGATGAAATGCCTCTCCAATAAAGTGTAAAAGTCACAGTATGAAAAAACAGACTATATTTTGCTCAAAACTGACAATCCTGGATGCTGCACGCAGCAATATACAACCAGACTATAATACATGGTTCTAAAATATTTTAAAATGTCTATCTGCTAATAGTGAAGAAAAACTACAGTTGAACAGATGTGGGTGTAGAACTATTTGTCTGAACCAGAGTTTTGCTTTTCCCCAATATTAATATCAAAAATTTTAAGAGTGACTGTAACTTTCAGTTTATTTTGATTATCATTTCAATACTTCTAAAAAATTGTGGTTACACTAAGAAGAGTGAAATGTATATACAAATTTTGAAAAATAATGTCACTTACAAAGTTGATAGAATTTTTAACTAATCTTGGAACTTAAAACTTTTGGCTTTACAATCCAAAAGTATCAACTTCCCAAATTATATAGAATGCATGTGCCACTTTGGACAAATTGACTCTTTAATATAAGCTGCTGGGACTATGATGTGTTATTCTTGTAAACTTGGGATTATGACTCCAAAGATTACCTCGTTTAATGAAGTCAAAAAACATAATCCATGCGTACATATTTGTGTTAGAAACCCTGCAGACAAATTAAATTTCAATACAGCTTCAGATGACAAGCTTTAGATGTTAATAATAATCTTTATCACTAAAATAAAACATTTTTTACATGTATCATCCTAACCATTTAACTCACCTAATTTCAATAAGTTACTTGTAAGCTTCAAGGCATGTCTTGTATTCCCTTGCTGAAAAAAAAAAAGAGTAAAAAATTTTATTAAATTTGTATCTCATCACTGAGATTCAATTATAGATATCAGATATCAGAAAATGGTTGAATAATAAAATCTGTGAAATTAAAGACTAAACTTGTTCTCTTAAAATTTCTTTTGGCAACAATAAAAAAGCTTCTAAGTTTCAAGTAGCGAAGAACAATGTATCTGTATTTATGATTATCATTACTGTCAGATAGCAAATTTGTCTTAATTTGAATTAGCCACAAGACATAATGTAGTTATAATTTTATTGTAATGGCTATATTTATGCCAGTTGTAACACAATTTATTTCAATGGCTACATATATGATTAATGTTACACATGTGCAGATAGCGAAATTATTGGAGAAGGAATGCTGTCAAACATGGCAGCAAGTTAAACACTTCCCAACTTGGTTATTAGCCCAATGCTATATTTGAAACATGATATACACGGGACATTTAAAAATACAGGATTATGTGGGGATCTAAATATGTAACAGTCAATACATCTTAGTCTAAGGCTCAAAATGCTATAACCAAACCATAAACACATATATTTTGTCAATGTACAACTTAAGATACATATAATTATGTCAGTACTTTGGTCATGATCAAGACTCAAAAATACATGGTTGCACATGCATAGTGATAATGGTGTAAATACAGCCATAAGAAAGGTTTTAATGAGCTAATCAAATAATCAATTCCTTGGATAAAACCTAAACATTGTAGCAGGAACAGTGAAAAATATCAGGTGTGTTTAAAGCACTATCTCATCTCAGAAGAACACTTCCTGCCCTTCAAAAACCTTGGAAAATATTTTCTTTAACCCTCTCAACTGATAAGACTAGTGGAAAGGCAGCTTGTCAACAGCATCTGCTGCCAACTCTTGGGCTACTCCAATTGAATAGTGGGATTTTACTGTCATTATTATAACGTACTCACAGTCCCAAAGTGCAGATTGTGATTTTATGGCAATGGTACATGGGTTCTCATATACACAGTCTGGCACATTAACCACTAGGCTATGTCCAATTGAGATAAAAACAAAATAAAACTATACATACATACATAGAAAAATTATAAATGATTTACTGGATTCACCATTAAGGAATGTTACATAACTGGCATTCTAGAATTTGTACATGTAAAACCAGTGGCTATTATCATAACAACCAATATCAATCAGCAGAAACTTTGATTGTTCAACTTACATTAAATTAAAATCAATGTTAACAATTTCCTTACATGACAATGTATTTCTGATAGATAACTCACCTGTGCACACAGAATAGCTTATTTTCATCTTGAATTTGCATAATCTGCCAAAGAGGTTTGTAAGTCTCCAGCCCTCTAAATCTCCCATCTAATCTCATATTAAACCACATGGACTTGGGACACTGCATGATGACCTAATCATGCATCAGAACCCTCCACCAATAGGAGTGCAACACAGCTCTATGCACAATGATGCCCTCTACATTCATGCTCATTTTTAGACAAAGAAATAAGTAAAGGTGCAGAAGTGAGCATCTTTCAGAAATATATTTTCAGGTAAAGAAAATGTTAACTTCCAAAATGAAACTCATCTCCCACACACACAGAATAGCTAAAATAACACACTGAGGTGGTGGAGGGACCAATGCAAGGATTACCTAAATAGGCTCCTTTAAGAAAGCTTCTGAAGGAAGCACATATTTTTAAAAGCCATCAAGCTCTAGCTAGAGAAATGGGCAGATACACAACTCTGTTACTGGCTTTTCCCATGATAGCCCTTGGAATGGGTACGGTTTGGAAATGTAATATGTATATATATATATATATATATATACTATGAGAAAACCTTATACAGTCTTGCAGAACACCATATCTTACTAGGGTGAATGGTATGATCGCTTTCCGTTATCCTGGCTTAATGCAGATTTTGGATATGTATACCCTGGAAGACAACACTAACGACCTATTGGGATCCTATAGTAAGTTAGTTGCGAATAAGGAAAATATAAGTACACTCACTTCTTTAAAGTCGAAAGGTGGAGTGAAGAATGGCTAAAACTCTCCAGAGAAGACACAGCAATTTGGTGGAGATAGTGGCAGGTGAACATATGTGGGGTAGTTAGTCTGCATGCCAGCCTATACAATCTTCTCTGGAACACAGTGAAAATGGGCTGCAAGAGAATGTGTAAGATGTCAAATCTAGTGAGAGGAGACACAAAAGAGCTAATGATCACCCACCAACAAAGAATAAACCAGATGGATGAGCTGAAAGATCTATCCAGTAAGGGTGAAGGAAGAGAGGTCTTTGGTAGAGGAGGAGTCTCAAGGAATGAAAAGACTGACAGGAACCCCAAAAGGTGAAAGTGCAAGATAAATAATGAGTGGGCCATACAGGACATAGGAGTCTGTCTGGGTCAGAATGATTATATGAGTGGAATGTGGTAGAATGCACTTCCCAATAACCCAGACTGATGAAAGAGGTAAGGTGTTGTAAGGTAGGTCAACCAGGGGAGAAATGGCCAAGGATAGACCAACATTGATAAGCCTGCCATCTATGTTGGTACATAGAAGAAGTGGAATGGCAACAAGAGTGGAACAGAAAGAAAGCTACATGATCAAATAGTCCAGCTCAACATGTGATAGACTGGACAAATCCCACACATGACAATGAAAGGATGTTACTCCTTGATGAAAGAGTGATGTGTGTAGTTGGACCAGAAGGAATTGAATGTTGGGAAGAGGTAGGTGGCTTGGTTGGTAGAAGACAGAGTAATGGAAACAAAGGTTGGGCCAGTAGGGGTTACCAATATGACTTTGCAAGGGGTGTCCCAAATCAGAACAAAGACCCAAGAAAGGTGTAGGGGCATAAAGGAGGCATCAGCAGCCATGCTGATAGGTGAGGTAGGGAGACCAAGAGAGGGAGTTTAGTATTGATGGGTGTGGCAAAGGCATCTATGACATAAGTTCTGAGTCGAGAACAGATTCAATGGAAGATTTAAGGATAGAAGGACAATTCCAAGGGTAGGATGCAGTCTCGATGAGAAATACAGTTTGCGACAATGCTTGATGCACCTGGAATGTGACAGGCTATTAAGAGCACCCAACTGGAATAAGTCCAAGAGAGGAGGTCTAAAGTCTGAAAGCAAAGGGTCCCAGAACTGGTGCTCCCTTGGTAGTTGACAAGAGACACACCCATATAGTTGTCTGAGTGGATCATTACCAAATAATCCACAAGAAGGGGAAGGAAATGAGAACTGGCCTGATGGACAGCAAGCAGTTTGATACGTAGCAAACACTCCTCCAGAGTCCAATAACCCAAAGTTAGAGAGTCGTTGAGGGATGCTCCCCATCCGAAAAGAAAAGCATCCATGAAAAGGTGAACGTCTGGTTTGAAAGGAGGTAATGGAATGCCTTAGGTGGTGTTGGAGAAGTCTAGTCATCAAGCAAGATCCTCCAATGGAGGAGGATTGGAGAGGACAGTGAATCCCTGAAAAGATTCCATTGGTCACACAATGTTTACTGTAGAGGATGCTCATTTGCATAGTCAAATAGAATGAGGGATTCCAGAGAGGTCATGGTTCCCAAAAAGAGATAAAACCTCTAGCACTGAATGTGAAGATAAGGGGCAAACTTTGGTGACCAAGATCCCTTAAGCAAACTGGAGAAGACTGGGCATGGCTGAGTGAGAGTTGAAGAGAATCCCCAGGTAGATGAGATATTAGGTCATGTGAAGAAATTTTGATGAGTCACCCTAAACGATTGGCTTCCTGGTGAAGAAGCGATATGTGTTTGAAGGAGTTTACCTGAAAATAGGTGAGGAGAAGCTAATCGTTTATGTAGAAGTGCAAGGATGTGTGTCACATTCTTATTGGTGGAGGGTTCTGCTGCATAATTAGGTCATCATGTAGTGTCTCAAATTCATGTGGTTTCACGTGAGATTAGGTGGGAGTTTTCTCAATGCTGGTGGCTTGCAAATCTCTTTGGCAGACTGCACAAATTCAATAGGAAAATAAGCTATTCTGTCTGCAGAGATGAATATTCATTTCAGAAGTTATGTCTTCATTACATGTTGAAATTTTTTCCTTTAGACTTGCACAAAATATATTTTTCATGAGGTAAGTGAGGACTATGCTATGAATACACAAAATTTAACTTGGAATAATATTACAGAGCCTAATTAAGTTTGCATTTTCAAGTACAATTCATATTTGTTGTTTGCCTTTTTTTTTAATATTTCATACCAGAAAGTGTATCAAAGTTCCAAAGAATACCTACAGTGGGATATCTGCTAGTATCATAAGACATTACTGTTAAACTATTTAGTGGAACTAAGTATAAACTTCAATGCACTGATATGATAAAAAAATTTCATTAAATCCATAGTTATACAGCTTTTATGCATAGTAATATCTAAATTGCATATAAGAGCATAAATAAGAACCATTTGCTTTGAACTTGCTAAACTCGCGTCTTTTCAGTACCAGTAAATAAGCAAAACTTTTCCCTTTCTTTGCAAGTAATACAAATAACAATTAGAGCTGGATGATTTAATTGGTTATCTATGAGCATCAATTACAGTGATTAGTGTCACCTAAACTAACTGATCAATTGAAATCAAAATTAAACTGATCAATGTTACAAAAATACTCAACTAATCATAATTAGTTTCTGATTATCACTGTGTTCAGTTACACCAACAATTGATTAATTAAAATTAAGATTAAATCGACTGTAACAACAATAACTAATTGAAATTATTTGTTCTGATTATTACATCTATCAACACAGTCAAAATGTTGCCATTATAACTGTTTGTTGTTAAGTATAAAGCTACATGTTGGGTTATCTATGCCCTGACTACTGGAGATATCAAAGCAGCATGGGTCAGCATGGGTTGGTGTTTTGGTGTGGGCTCATTATTTGATTCAATTTGTCATCAAACTTACCCTGTTTCTTTTACTGGCACTGTCTTTGAAATTCTGACTACAAGGAAAAAAACTGGCTGGCAGCACCCACTGCCAACTCTTTGGCTACTCAAGTGTTAAACTTACTGTTTTTTTACAGTATTATGTTCATAATTGCATAACTGTATTTTTAATGTTACACAATCCGGCGTAGATCTAGGGGGGGAGCAAACTCTTCCTCCATTTGTTTTAAAAAATTAATTTAAAAAAACAGGAACGGTGTCCTTACCCAATATAGTATCAAAATAAGAAAGAACATTAGATGCCAATGTTTTAATTTCATTGGGCAATTAATTACTATAAAAGCTTTTTTTTTTAGGTTTTCTAGAATCAAAACAGTAATCTAGTAATCTAGTTAAGGCCTCAGCCAATAACTGACTGTTTCTAAGCTAATACAACAATATAAACATGAATTAAACCATGTCATGGCAAATTTTCACAACTTGGCTTTTTCTAAACTCTCTAACAATGTGTCTAGGTTTATAGGGATTTGTTTCAATCAAAGTTAGTATTGTTTAGGGGACCTTAAACTCTTATATCATTGTTTCATTGTTTACAAGTTTAAAGTATATATATACTGAAAACCTATTTTTAGGCATAGAAGCAAATGATTTGAGTAGCAAAATGACACCAAAGGACAAAACTACAACTGACTTCAATGAAAAAAAGTTCCAAATTGCTTATGTTTTTTCTGGAAAATACTTGCTGAAGAAGATGCCAATCAATATAACTTGCTAAAGCGACTACCTGCTATTGATCCTCAGTGTTATTGTAGCAGCATTGGTCAGAGGTATATCTATAACAAGACTACAATAGTTACAAATGTTCTCACAGTATGATTAGAAGGTGACAATTTACCATTGACATGCCAGTTTTTGAAAATGATCAATGTATTGATTCATAGTAGTTTTCTGTTTTTAAGTCTGAAAGCTTTCCACATTTGGCATGGATGATCAAGGCTGTCTTGAGCTGCTTCTATGGTCTCATGGTGGAACAGTAATGGGTGACATCATAGACTCCAGATCAGGTTAATCATCAAAACATACAGTAATATTCAAACTGTAAGGTATACATTTAGAAGTGTAGAAAAATCAGCTGTCTAAATGTTCTACAAGGCAGAACCCCTAAGTGATCATTTGTCTAACACTCTGTAAAAACATAAGAACATCCTACAAGTCCCTAAAACAGGAATATGAAGAGCAAAGAAAGATCAAGCCAAATAAAGCTTAAGCATCACGTCAAATAAAGATGCAATCTACAATCAAAGGGTTAGCCAGTTTGCCAAAGTGATAGGCCAATGAAAAAGTGAACAAACCAGCTAAGAGACCCAACAAAGCCCATCATAGTCACTGTTGAAGAAAGGACAGCAGCCAAAGTAAAAACTATTCACCTTATGCAATAACAAAAAAATTCAGTGTTTATCTCTCTGGATATGGGGTCGGTCCTATGGGACCATTTTTACTTGTGTATAGTTTTAATATTACAACTTTTAATACAGTGTGTGTATCTTCACAAAATTTGGTAGACTTTTGGTACACATTACAATTATTTTGTACACAAAAAAATCAGCTTTTTTAATGAAATATTTTTACTAAAGATTTGTCCATGAATAAATTGAGTATTTATTCTGAATAGTCCGTGTGCAATGTGATTTTCATGTTAAGATTAAAAATACCTTTTTTCATCTCAAACATCTCAGATTTGATTTGTATTTTCTCTAAAATCTCCTAAATACATTTCAAATGTTTGTTTTCACTAAAACTTTATATTTTATCTGTTATTTTCTCAACCCTAACTCTATACAATGTTGGTCAATTTGACTGACCTCGTAACCACCAAAAAAAAATAATCTAAATTACCATTTTTTTCTTAATAGACTTCAAATTGTAACATGAAACTACATTTGTTTATCCTAAGTAGCTTTAAACTTGTAACAGTATACATGTATTTATAGTTAAATTTGATTTTTTATTGCCCTTTGAACTGTGTCTAACTACTATTTGTGCCATTGTAAATTTTAAATCACTTGGGGAACATGGAGGTCAAGTTACGCTATCAAATTATGTTAGCCACAAGCTGCTCACCTGCATGTCTTGTGAAACATTTTTATTATATCATTATTTATTTTACCCAGTCTTACCTAAAGAGGTCCCTATTTATACATTTTAGTTACTTTTATAATGATAAATAAAAAAAATAAACATGAAAAACAAGAAATAAAGTACTTACCCGAATCTTCTGCTTTCTTGCTGCCAATTATGAGTGACACTTAACCCTATGTTTTTATACTAATGATAGTAATACACTAAATTTTTATTTAATTAAATAATGCACCAAAGAACATAGAGTAATAACATGCCAAAAGTAAACAATTTCCCCTAACTTTCACAATTTTTCTGGCTTTATAGCTATGCAACAAGAGCCGTTAGAAATTCATCCAAGCTAGTCATTATCTTTCCCGTGGGAACAAGGCTTGTACTAACAGTGAAATTGACAATCCTCAATTCAGAAAATAATGTTATACAATATGTCATTTGATAGATAAAACTTTGGCTTTCTGTTGGTTATAGATAATATATATATAATTAAACCTAAGAGAGAACTATTAACCAATCCTGAAAGAGAGGATGTAACAGATGAGTGTGGCAGGAGAGGTCTGATTTTCTATTTGATAGCTCTGTAACCAAACCAAACTGAAGGCTATAAAAATTATGATTTGTTTGAGCAATGACGGTTTTATTGTGAGTAACTTACATTTACTTTCGTATTTATTAGAGGGGTGGTGGATAAAATAGAGAAAATGTGTCAGATGTTTCACACTAGGGGAAAATTCAGGATTTTTTTTAAATATTGCCATATAAAATTAATAACTTAGAACTTATATACTATTAAAATATAGATTATTACCTAAGATTTTATGCCATACTAATTGGTATAAGATAAATAAAAAGAAGATTAATAAAATTTTGAATGTAAGTCACTAAAACCTCATGACACGTGTCGTAAAGGATGCCCATCGTGATAGGGTTATAGTGTAAAATAGTTAGAAATTACACAATTTTTGTAAGGTTGTGCAATAAATTTGCACACTTACACCATGTCTGCTAGTAATTTCCTCTGAAGGATATCAGTGCAATACTTTTATGGAAGGGCAAAATGCAAAAGAAATTGTAAGATAAATTCTTGTGCACTACAATTACAGTACAACTTCAAATTTTTTTTAACGTAACTGTGCTTAAATTTGTTCTATTATTAACCACTAAGAAGTGGCTTAGAATGCACCATTTTAACTTTAAAACAGAAAATCTGTCATGAAAGAGGAGAAACCCTCTTTCACCCCCCCCCCACACACACACAAGGTTTTCACTCTTTGAAAAGTTGCCCATTCTCACGTATGAAAGAAAAAGGGAATTGCCTAAGTAAGACAAATTATGAATTTCTAGAATTTTATCATATACAGTATTTGTGTTCAAAGGCTGAGTAACTAAAATGATATGGTTATAAAAAATAAGTTAATTTATTTCTTTGATATAAAAAAATGTTTTTTTCAATGTGCAGTGAGAGTATGTTCTAATATATTAACCTTGTAAGTAGCATATGCCAGATATTCAAGAACTTCTGCTGCATCTGCAGTCTTGTCTATTTCTTCTTCTGCACGTTCCAAGGCCTCTTGCATCCACAGAACTGTATGGTAGAAATCTTCATTGTTATAGGACTGACGGCCTAGCTCGAAACAGTCTCCAGCTGCAAAGAAAAACATTCTCTGATAATAATAATGTGATTTTCCAATAAGATTGTTTTGCTAGCTTCCATTATGGGGCATGTATCATTATAAATAGCTTACTGAAATTTATGCAAAAACACTTTAGATAGTTCAAACAAATGTCTAGATCTTAACTAGAATCTTAAAGGTGAAGGCTAAAACACAATCTCCAATCGGTTATTTTGGTGTTTTGGAACATTTTAACACTAAAAACATACTTACCAGTCAGCTCAGACGAATGTTTTGTTCCCTGGATGTAACCTTTTGCCAAGACAGAAGTGTCTATTTTGTATGTGTCTTGTAGTCTTAGCAGAGCTACAGCAGCTCCATTTAAGTCATCATCATCAGGAAATTTTAAATCATCTCTGTTTCTTGTAATATTTTCAATCAAATCTATAATTAAACCCAATTAAAAAAATGTTTTCATTTTTTGATACGTAAAATTCTTTATTAACTTTTTATGATGAATTCCATCTTCTATATTTTTGTATCAACACATCAATCTCTCTTCCTTAATTAGTATCCAAGTTTGAATACTGACTAAATGGAGATAAGGCGCTAGAATCAATGCACTAACAAAAGTTATAGAAAAAGGAAATTGATCAGTGAAAAAATCTTTGATTATACTTTTATTATAAATATAAGCCTTTAAAAAGAAATCTTTACTTCATACTTAATACTTATTGCAAAGTTAACAGAACCTTTTACTTGTTTTTGGTAACAATATGCTAACTGTATGTTACCCTCAAATTGTCAGCAAGAGAGAAAAGAAAATGTAGCAAGCCAAATAAAAAAATTGTGAATTTAATAACCTGCAAATAGAGATTAGTAAAAAAAAGTAAGAAAACAAGGCTGGAGATACCATAGATATTAGTTACTTAAACTACAAATCCCTATTTTGGCTCCATGCTGTTACCTAGTATTAAATTTGATGGCTTAGATGCTGTGCCCCCGCTGTATGTGCTCCACCATTTCCGTATTCATGGCGTGTTAGATC